TGCACAATTTATGATGTTTTTTCTCATTTCATACGGCGCTGGCCAGTTAGAAGCCGCACCCGCGCTCATTTCTTATTAAAATACTTTAAAAAATCGCAAGTTTAATGCTTAATTAATTGTTCACTTATAAAACACACTTAGTTTTACATATTAAAACATTTTCGGGGTATTAATAAACGTTTTTTCAGGACTAAATAACGTTTTTTAGCAGCAGCACACCTTTGTTTACACTTCGTTTTCGCCATTCTGATCTTCTCCTTTATCCTTTTCTCTTCGCTCTCATCGGCGCTGGAACTAGTTCCGCACTTACGATCCAATGCAATCCAATGCAATTGGCGAAGAGAGCGTAAAGAAACAGAAGAAACAGAAGAAGAAGAGAAACGAACTCGCCAAAGTGAAAATTAATTCGTGCTGCTGTTAAAAAACGTTTTTCGTCCAATAAAAACGTTTAATAATAAACAAAAAACCAACAAATCAATAAAACTAAGTGCATTTTATATGGAAACAATCAAAAATGCATAAATAAGATGGATTTTTCAACATTAGACTAAAAATTAAGTGCAGCGTCTCCTTTCCCCCAAGTGCAAGTGCCAAAGTAAACGGGTGTCTCGGTAAAAACTAAACTTAGCACTACGTCATCAACAAATAACTATTGTTAAAGCATTTGACAAACGCAAATCAAATGAAATGTATTCAAACAGCGATTAAAAGAGTTGAGACTCCCGTGGACATCGAAGGCCGCAGCAGCCGCAGACGCCATGATCCAATTGGATCGTAACTGTACCGTATGCAAAAATGGAAGGCTTTCCAGTGGCGAAAGAGAGCGCAAAGGGAAGAAGAAAAAAGAATCAAGGTGGAAATTGATCCTTTCTGCTTCTAAAAAAACGGTTTTTAGTCCGAAAAAACGTATTATTAAACGCAGCAAATGATTAAATAAATAAAACTATTTGGGTTTAATATGGGAACATTAAAGCCATTAAAACACCAATAAAAACACCTGAGACACCCGCGGACAATGGGAGCCGCCAGACTGCACAAGTGTGTATGTGTGTGTGCAAGTAATTTTTATCAAAAATAAGCAAAAAAAAATGTTTTGTTGCGGCTTAAGTTTTATTAAGGAATATTAAAACAAAAACTTTATATATAAAATGTTAAACCAAGCAAACATAAACCAGAAATGCTGGTGAAATATTACTTTAGTGTTCGTTTTCGTAATTTTACTGTTCTTTCCCTTCCTTCTGATGTGTTTTTGTTTTTTTTTTTAAGTGTTTAATTAACTTTTTTTTTAGTGTTAAATTAATACATCAATTTAAAATTTCTGTTTAATTGATTGGTACAATAACTTTGAATTATAATTTTTTTTTTTAGTGTTTCATTAATTTATACATTTATTAATAATGTGAGTTAAAAATAAGAAAAGGAAGGAAAGAGGCTTCGGGAGTGTTGTGAGCTGTGTGTAACTAAATTTCCAATTCAAAAAGAAAAAGACTAAAAAGAAGAAAGAATAAAGAGACAAAAATAAGAAAATTGGTAAGTGAGAAATTCATATATTTTTTATATTAACTTAAAGGTCAACTTTTCTTGAAATATATTTTGATATTAAATATATTCTTCTCAAAAGCCGCTCTAGATTGGATTATTTTTAGTTCCATGATAAGAAGATATAAAAATCGATTTATTTATCATGTTTCTATGCCAATTTAACCCAAGAGGGATTTTGTATACAGTTTCCACCATTTATTTGTTTATTTTCTAATTGTTGCCTCAAACCCCACCGCCTCTGCATTGTTCACACCTATTACACCTCGCTTATCGTGTTGCACCAAATCTAAATGACTCTCCGAAAGTTGTGTTTCCCACAGAATAAAAATAAAAAAAACTATGTCAACCCGGGGAATGCAGACAAAAACATAGGGAACACGCCAAAATCAAACAAACCCCGACCACAAAAAGAAAAAAAAAAAGAACACCAGACCCACGAATAAAAGTGAAAATTGTAATAAAAACAAATTACGAACACGAACAACAAACGGGAGGAAAGGAAGCTCTGAAATTCTCACAGCGACATATTGAAAGTGTCCTCGTGGCTGTCTATCTAAACAATGCCAGCAATAATTGCGCGATTGATGAGGACGAGGGGGTGAAAATTGTGAGGTGGAAGGGTGACACGGGTGCAGGGTGCGACTCCGATTACCGCACCGTTTGACTTTCTCAGATAATTGCAAGAGAGTGTCACGCGCTCGTTTATTTGTCTCTGGTTTTTTTTAGGCAAGATATTTATAGGGTTAACGGGGTATGTGGGTTTTTTAAACTATAAGAAAGTTGGATTTAAGTAGGAAGATATTTTAAATCTTATATAAACTCTAATATCTCGGGATCTATATGGGTTTTGTATTTAAAACTTGGTATGCAAGCTGGTAATGGTAGGAAAAGCCTGTAAACCAAACCAAAACCATTTTCTATATATTTTCCTTTTCTGATATTCCATGTCGGAAGCGGGTCATTTCCAGAGGTATAAATCACAAAAAGCGGCGGACTTCGAAGGCGGAAGCCCACCTGTTGCACTTCGTTGACAGTTTTCTATTACAACTGCCCTCAGCGAATTTTTATTTGTAATTTATAAATTTTAATTGGAAATTACTAACAAGTTCGCGAACTAAATTAGGCAAGAATTTTTCCAGCTTGTTGCCGTCATCTTCGGCGGGGTTGGTCCACAACAATGACTTGATTTATGAGCGGCTCGTGCTGTAAGTCGGCTCGCTCCCGGGGGTTGGGTAATGACTTGGATCGGCAGTTAAGTGAACCGCGAAAAGGGCCATGAATAAAAATATTTGGACATCAATAGGAACACACATGAGCGGACAATAGAAGGGGGCAGCGACTTGAGCATGGGAACCAGAAGTTTTTCCCGGCCAACTAGGACTTTTCCTTCTCACCGATTATGCGCATTTTTTATTATATATGTATATATTTTTTTCGCTACATTCTCGCATCTTTTTTTTTTGCGAGTGAATAAATTTAAGCGCAAGCGTCAGTCCGCGAAGCTGTCAAAAGGGACTACTCATCGTCCTTTTGGCGCCAGTTGGCACAGCAGCACCAGCAGCAGCAGCGTTTTCAATTTATTTTCACAGCCTGAAACAATTACGGCCCTAAAGGGAGCAACAAAAAATATATAAGGCATCAACTGTGTGCGAAAATGAAATCAGAAATTAAATTTCAAGTGAGCAAAACATACGGCGCAGCGCAGACTGAGATACGACAGAGACAGAAGGACAAAGGTGGGGCCCAAAAGGTCGCAGGGCAGACCACCCTCCCACTGGGCGCGTTGATGAGAGGCGGCCAGGGTGTGTGTGTGGGTGGGAGCCCGCTGACAGATTATCCGATTACGATTAGAGTGAGCGTAACCAGCAAACAAATAGCTAGCAGAGCGACAGATGACGATAGACATCACAGAAAGTGATTACGAGGGCTTGGAAAATTTGATTAAAAATTATGGGAATTATTAAAGGGATGATAAAAGGTGGAAAAAGAGGTCTGTCACCAAAGAACTTTGATAAAGATGTTTTTACTTTTTAAGGAATTAATTTTTCTAATTGAAAAAATACAAATAAATTATTTATTGCCAGGAAGGCTCTATAAATTTTATAAAATACAAATATAAATGTAAATATACATTTATTGGTCTCTATAATTTATATACCCAATCAAACAGTATAACAATAAATCCATAAATCCTACACCCATCAAAAGTCAACAAGTACTCCATAAAACTAAGTAAACATGACTCTAATCAGCGCAATAAAACAATAATAAATTCTATCAATTGGCTGAGAGACCCTCCTCGATGATTTTATCGATGTCATCGTGCTCCTGGTCTGCACCCCTTTTCATTATGCACCGCTAACCACTCAATTGTCTGTGCCGAAAAGGATCCCACACACACGAAACTCCTCCCCCTGCATCCTATTCATCCCATTCAATCCCATAGATACTTCCACTGTCAGCGGAGTGTGCGCCCTAATGCGCTTCACATAACATTTTGATCATTTTATGATCTGTCGATTAGCTTCATTGTTCGGGCCATCCCTCTGGCTGGTGGCCAGGATGTCTGGATGCGCTCGGGGGTTGTCCTGCCATGGTGAAGTGTGCCTGAAGGAGCGTGTGACTAACACGCTTTAATAGGATTACCGCTGAAGAGCACTTAAGAGTCAAATTATCAACGGGCAGTCACACAGATTCACCGAATGTTGTGACTGTTGCGTTCTGTATGTTTACACTCAAGGCAGGGACAATGAACATAAGCATAAAGGTCCTGACAATTGTTTGCGAAACTTTCCCACTGCCAATTCGACTCAATTGCAGTTCCCAGAGGGACCAGTTCGCAGCCCAGATTACGCGCATTAGTCAGGCTTAAGTTATTAAGTCAAGTGAGCAATTGAGATATCCAAATTCAGGGATTTCAGGGATCTTTGCAGATACTTGAGAGAGGGATTGGGAAACTTCATGGGAATAAATATTTAAATTATAATGAGGGAGATTGTCTCTGAGAAGAATTTAAATATATATTGTTATTAATGCTAAATAGGGTTCCAAATCAAGTTAATTGATCCTTGAATATATTAAGTTATTATTATGAGAATCTAGTTATACATATTTTAATTTAGACTTTAATGAATCGTATTCATAATTAATTTAAGAATTCTTAAAAAAAAAATTCAAAATAAAATGCCTGAAAACGGGTTTCAAAAGCATTACATATTTTTTTGTTAACTATTTTTTAGTATTCATAATCTTCCCAATAAACTTATTTGACTGACCCACCCCCTGAACCAATGAAGTCCTTGCCAAGGACATTCCACCCCCGTGACGCACTCAAGCGCCACCTTTTATGTGAACAATGACGCCGAGTGTGTCGCCATCAGGTTGCAGTCCTGACTGAAAGCTGTCAAAAGCTCAAAGGAAAAAGGACATTCCCGACACAATCAGAGTTTCAAACTTACACAGTGCTGAGCCGCCGCCGCCGCCTGCTCCAGATCCTGCCCCCGATGAGGCTCCTCCTGCTGCAGTTGCATTGCTGCTGCTGCTACTCTTGCTGCCACTGATCCTGCCCTGCTGATGGTCGCTGGCCGAGGACGAGGAGGAGGGGACCGCGGCATGCGAGGATGTGGTGGCGCAGTCCAGCGAGGATTTATCTGCAAGACAAAAAGGAAGAGCAGACAAAAGGATACTTTAATTGCCAGGCAGCGCAAATTTGCACACTCAGCACGGCACGCTTCGCCTTTTGCCACGGAACGGAAGCGAGAAAAAAAAGTGAAAATAAACGGAAGCCAAGGAAGGCTAGGAGAGAGCAGGACTCATAAATCTCGGCATAGATAATTGTCATCACAACTAGCTGCTGCTGGTTTATTTATTGCTGGAATTATGGTTTTCATATCTGCCGCCGCACCCTCGCCCCGAAAACGTCACGCAACGTCGCTCTCGCCCAGTGATTCCCATCCCCTTTGACAGATCCTGTGAACCGCAAAGGATATAATCGCGAGGGTTGTCACCACCAGCTATGCCAGAGAGATGTTTAATTGCCGTAAATCTTTGTTTGATGTAAACAACAATAAGCCAGAGAGGAAAAATCCATGAGGAATTGAGGAATTTGCTACGCTTTCAATTGAAATGTCAAGCCGGATGCGATACGAGTTCAGGATAATGATAGCCATGAAGATTATGGCTTTGAGCTTGGATTCCCATCAAGCGAACTGTCAGGACAGCGAGTGTGTCATAATTATACTTTAGAATTCGATGAGCAAATTCCTCTCAAAACTATTTAGAAATATTTTTATAATATTTAGCTGAGTTTAGGGATATTATTTTCCAAAGTTTGCTCATATAATTATAGATTTAATACAAAAAATTCAAATATTTCTTTCAAAGTTTAACAAAATGAGAGAAATTTCTTGAAGAAAACATCCAATTATAACCCAAATCAGTTACAAAAATTCCTATTTTCCACACAACTTCCCTCGTCCCTAAGAGTATATTGTATAGTATCTACAGCTTCTCCTTGACTTGGCTGCAAAGTGTAATTATTTTTTATGCGCCTGCCTCTGTGAGCCAAACGTCTTTTGAGCAAAAAATAATGAGTTACGCATGACAAAATCTTTTCATGGCAGGGCAGAACCAGCAAAAACTCAGCTAAGGCTTGACAGGAGCCGCAGAAAGAGACAGACAGACAGAGACGGAGGCAGGATAAAAAGGATTCATTTCATATTTGCTTGAGCGCGCGCCGAGAGATGAGATGAGAAAAGACGAACCCAGAGAGGAGGCAGCCATTTTGTGTCTAGCTATCTTTGTGAGGGAAGAACTTCAGAACTTGTCTCCTGGAAAGGACTTTATAGCAAGGATAATGTGGCTAAATCTGCGATTAAAGTGAAACGAGATATGGCAGGCTCAAGGAAGAATTTTATTATTCAATTTTGAGCCAAGAATTGCTCGTCCTTTGGCCAACTAACAGACAAGTCAGCCTTGTCTAATTGAAACCAAAGCAGAAACAGGACATAAATTTGCCAAAATAAAAAAGAAGAGACGAAAACAGAAAGGACTAAAGTTTTCTTATAGAAATAAATGGACATGGACAAGTTGACTGGAACGGAGGCGGCATAACAAACTCTCGCCAGGCACGCGATGAAATTGTTCGGTTTTTGATGTTTCTATCAAAAGCTGGCAGGGACCGCCGCAAACAGTCAACAGTAGTAGCAGCAGCTTCGGGCCACATTATAAGCCACATCCTGGCTGGCCCCGGCTTAAATTGATAAATATGTAACCGAAACACAAAAACAAAAATGGCTAAAAGAAAAAAAATATATTCAGAAGCGGACCCCGGAGAGACCTCAGCGTTTATATGGATAATTCAATTTAAATTTTTTGCCCAATCTTTTGCCCTTTTTTTGTTTTTGTTTTATTTGTTGTGTTAGTACAACCAGCAGAATTATGTACATGGCTGGTCGCGGTTTTTGGCCGTTGTTTTGGCCATTAAATGTTACGGGTTCGGACATATTTGGCGGTCTGTGGTGGGAGGAGGTGGCCAATGGCCAACATATGCTGCTTGGATGTGTTTAAATAAATACGCGAAATTTGCCACTTTTGTGGCACAACATTTTCGGCTGTCGGGGTTTGTTTTCTCTTTTTCTCTTTTTTTTTTTTCCTATATTCCCAACCGCTTTGGATTCGTTTTGCCTTGGCCGGAAGCGCAGGATTTGTTTTTCCGCCATTTCGTTGACATTTTTGTGCTAGACAATTGCGAGAAGGTCAGTGGGTTGGTTGGTGCACTAAAGAATATGTTTTTGCTTATAATTTATACAAAAGAAATATATATAAAAGAATCGGGATATTTAATTTGAAATTATTTAAACAATATTGGTTTGAAGTTTTTTATAATTATTTTTTGTTTAAAATTCAATACTTGAAAATTAAACAAAGTATAGATATCAGTATTATTTAGTTAATAGGTTTCTCCATCTTAACCTTTTTTTTTAATATAAAACGCTTTCGACGCTTTCTAATTTATTTTGCTTATATAGTTTTTTTTTTTTAAGTTTATCTCAAGTTTTTAAATGAAAACCCAATCATTCAATTTCCTCTGCCTGATTTAGATTTCTTTCTTTTAAAATCTTAGTTTTTTAATATTTCATAATTTATTATTTTCTTAATAATAACTCCCCTGAATCGATCTTTGCTTACCTGCCCGAACTTTGTGCTCCACATGAGAAGTGCTAGATGCTGCCAGCGATGTCAGCGCTGGAGCTGCACTTACTGCATCCAGGCTGCCGGATGCCACTTGCCCGGCGCTGGACGTGATAACTCCGTGCTGAGTGCCGGCGGGTGAACAGCCGGCTGTTGCAGGATGCAGAGTGTCCAGGCGGTGTCTCTGGACGCCGCTCCCGCTGCCAAGGCCGCCGACGCCGCTGCTACTGCTGCTGCTGCCCAAGACACCGGCCGTGCTGCTGCTAACCGCATTGTAGTTAAGCACACCGGCCACGCCCACCCCAACACCAACCCCAACGTTGGGATTGTGCGGGAGCCCAAGACAGTTGCCGGCCCCATTCCCTGTTTGAACGGGCAGGGTGTCAAGGGTGTCTGTCAAGCGCTGGCTGGAGTAGATGTCACTGCGATGGGAAGAGATATTTAAAATCTAGAACTACCTATTTAAAGGATTATTCTGCTTACCTAAAGGCGCTGGTGGCCCCAAAGAAACTGCTGCGATCCTGCAGTGCCGCCTTGGCCTTCTCCACGCTTTGCTTCAGCTGCTCAAAGGTGGACTGATGGAAGCGGTACGAGGTCCAGTCCGGCGAACACTGGCCAAGGGTCAGGCAGTCCTCCGTCTTCACCTGGGCAAGAGTGGGCGGCGAGACTCGCTTCAGGTCCAGCGCCGTTTGATACGAACAGGAGTTCTCGTACATGGCGCACGCCTGGGGAGCCTCGATGGCTGGCTGTTGGCTGAACAAGGGATTCCACTTGACTCTGCCATATGGAGATGATAAATAATAATATTATGAATTAGTTAGGGTAAGAACAGGGCAAGAAGCATCTTAAGAATATATTTTTTAAAGGATCAAGTAGCCCCTTAAATATTTGGGGTTCTTAGCAATAAATTCCCATTAAAACGTATTTAAAAATTAATATTTCCTTAGTTTGGATCTATTTTAATCAACTTGAAACCCCCTTAACCTAAAAATACCAACATAACCTTTAGTTTTAATTACTTTAAAGAATTCCAAACAACATTCCATCACTCACCTCATGGCAAATTACAGAACTAGATACTCATAAATCATAACGCCAGTAGCCCCACAATTAAAGACTGCAATTTTAAACTATTTAGCTTCTGGTTGGGGCCAAAGAAACGCTCTAATTGCCGCAGCTCCAAACACGTTAGGCAAGTTTCCAATCCTCCCCTGGGCCTGGCGGCATAATTAATAGTGGCTGCTCGAAACTGTAGAGCTCCCTTAGATATAAGCACGACGTGCATAATTATCTGGCTTGTTATTTATTGTGGGTACAGTCCCGGCTCTTGGACTGGGCCAACGTTGCGTATGAGCGACGAGCTGTGCGTGGGTGGCGGCCATTTGAGCGTGGCGGCTATCCAAATGTCCAACGGACCATTGTTCTGCCGGTTCGTTCTGGTGGTTCTGCTGTTTTGTGCCTTTCCCTTTTCGGTCAGTCTGCCAGTTAGCAGCAAACACAGGGCTCCATAGGGCATGCAAATTTTTGCACTCTGCCCTCGTCGGAAGTTGCTGGATTTTGATTTATGCCAACGAAATTTATGCCACACACACAACGTGCGACTTCTCCTGTCTCCGGACTTTAAGGTTCTCCCCCCGAAAAAAAAAAGTGGAAAAATCGAAACAGATATGGCTTTAATGCTATCAGATCGGTGGCATCTATACAGAACATCATCAACTCTGTGCGTTGTCAGACATTATAAACGGCCTGCACACGCCTCATTTATTATTTATTATTTTGTAACAGGACTCTGCAAAAGAAGGACCTTCTTCTCGTTTGCATGTAAGCAAATTTCCCCAACAAACAAACATTAGCAGGCGACAGGCAGACATTTGCGTTCTCTCTCCCGGTTTTTGTGCTGCAAACTTATCACAATCGCGACGAGCGTTGAACGCGCGCACACCGGAAATACGAGCGGAATGCCAGGAAGTCGGTCTGCAGATGGGCCCGAGTACCCAAAACGCGTGCTGATGCCGCCATTCTGGTCTTCGACAGCTGTTAATGGTGTAATCCTCCCGTAGATCTTTTAATTAAGAGGCCGCACGTTTGGCTGCTCTTTAATGGTTTGTAAGATTTTTAATGCCGCCGTGCCTTTTGGAATATTTCGATTTTTGAATGCTTTCGCTAGGCGGCGGCCAATGGAACTGGTGAGCTGTTTAATTGCCGAGCTACTGGCTGATGATTCTGCACTGTTTGCTGTTTGTTGCTGGCTTGTGCATATTTCCGTTCCAAGTCTGCTAATTCGATTAGCAGAAAACATAAGCTGTGGGATTGCTATGAGGGTGGGATTAATGCCTCCAATGAAACGAGCTTGTTTTGGAGGGGTGGAACTGTGGATTATCATCATAAGCCAGAAATTACGAATTACATTACGAGGGATAATGCAAGATATGCAATTTTTAAGTCATATAAAGATGCTGATGTTCTTTCATCTTCATGCTATACTCGTTTTGCATAATTTTGGGATAAGTCGTTGGGGATAAGTTCAAAGGTTTATTTTGTTGAATAAAATAAAGCTCGAGTCTCCAAGAAGCTTTTTCTAATTCTAAAAAATATTTTTTATATTTATTTATTTCTTGGCTATTATTAAAAAATTTCATTTAAAAGAATTCATAATTAAAGTCCGTCCGTATAATCGAACCCAACCTTAGGTGGTTCTTGATAACCCTATATAAAAATTTCGCTTTATGTTTTGCTAATAGAAATTCCCTTTCTCTAAGACATTTTCTAAACATTTAACTTTGTAAGCATTTTTAAAGCATTAAAACTAATTTTATTGTATAAAAATGATCTTAACCTATTTAAAAATATATTTCTTAGTAAGAAATTCTTTAAATTTAAAGGTGTTTCTCTTTCAACTGTAACAGAAAACATTCTAAACTTAAGAAACTTAACTGCAAGCGGAAATAAATGTAAGAATTTGTACAATATTTTTAGTTCCTTATTTTTAAAATTAAAGATTAACACAATTTTGATATGTTTCTACTATGTCGAGTTACAATTATTTAGGTTTTAAAATTCTAAATATTCAAGGTAGTAAATTGTATGTAAACTAAGGCATTTCAGCTTTTAGATTCAAATGTATTATTTTTCATCTTAGATAACTCAAAATAAAAAATCTTGTATAATCTCTCTTTTGAAATTTGATTATTTTATGGTAGTACAAATCTTAAAATTTATTGTTTTAAGCTTTATCAAGTTTATTAAATAATCCGAAAATCACTGGTTAAGATGAGATACTTCTCATTTGATTATTTTGTGGTAATACTAATCTTTCAATTTAATGTTTTAAGCTTTATTAATAATCTGAAAGCCACTAGTTAAGATGAGATAATTTGCATCTTAACCTTGTACTACCACAAAATAATCAGAATACAACCTTAGTATTTACTTCACTCTTTCATCCTGCCGCCTAATCTTATAATAGAAATTCCGTGTTAAAATGCAAACTCACCTCAGGATTGTGCCTGTTTTTGTGATTAAGTTAATCCAAAAATAAGACTCCTTCTTCCGGCTGTTCCCTGACCTAATCTTTGTAGACTTCCGATGGACACCACTTGCGATCGTTGACACTTCACTAAGGTTTTTTAAGATCGTTAATCACTCCACTCAAGTGCGTACAAATTGCAGGCCGGAAATGAAATTATTGTCAAAATGGCGACGGATATGCGACAAGTGAACGCGACAGCGACGCGCCACGCAAATAGGGGTTCCCTCGGGTGTATGTGCAGCTCTGCAGTTCTGTAGTTCCGTAGTTCTGAAGCGGATATGCAAGGAAATTTGTCAGTGCAAGGACACCGCCAACTGGACACCGACGGTAGCGACAGTCTGGGACTTGTGCTCTGGTTGTGTTTCTGTTTCTGGCACTGGCACCAGTTCCTTGGGCATTTCGCACAGGTGCATCAGGAAGAGGGAATTGGGGGGAGCAACGAAAGCGGAACGAAAATGAAATCAAAAAGCGAAATTTCTATAATTTCCGCACAAAAATTTCCGCGACACACTGGCAGGACTACAACGACGTCGACGACACATGCGAGTTTGTACGTTTGTGTGTGGGCTTTTCTTGTTTCCTTATTTTCTTATTTTTTTTTTTAGTTGCCACGCCCACATAGCCAGCAACAAGCTGGGCGTATGTGTCCAAGTCTTGCACTGATTCCACCGTGTGTGTTTGTATGTGGGAACTTCCTTCTTTTGGCCCGTGTCCTGCTGCTGCTGCTGTTTGTTTTTGTGCCTTTGTGACCCAAGAAAGGTCTCCCCGGGATATTGACGACGTGTGACCGACGAATCTAGACCGCAAAGTACCGCTATTATGTCGTCCGCGACGTGTTGCACTTGGTAGCGCGCACTCCAAGTTAATGTGGCGGCCAGATCATCCCGTCCGCCAGCACACGCTCAAAGATGGCGACACACTCCTCCCACAAGTACATATTGCCGCTTGGTGGGCAGGAGTTGGGGTGTAGGATAGCAAGGATGTCACCCCAAACGTTCCGTTTGTAGGACGCGCAGGCGCGCTCTCTGTGGGTAGCACCACCTCCATCCACTTGGCGCTGGCCTTTTATCTGCCACTGTCATCGGCTGCTGCTGCTGCTACAGCTACTGCTGCTGCTCCAGCTCCTTCTCCTGCTCCTGCCGCTGCTCTTGGTGGGCGGAGCTTAAAAACATTCCCCTGTGGATGTGCTTGGGCATCATTAGTGCTGCTGTGGAGAGAAGACCCCATTTTGGGCGGAAGTGCGTATGAGCAATATTTTAACAATGGCGTTTAAAACAGTTAAAGAGCATGTGCCTCGGTGTGTGTGTCTGCGTGTGTGTGAGGCCATTAGGACCTTAGTTTTGCGGGCTCTTTAAGACCCGCAGATAAGCTCTGGCACATAATAACGTTTTAATTTCGTGCAAAAGTAGCCACAAAAGGCGGCCCCAAGATCTCTGCCAAAAAGGATATAATTAACATGCCAGTGGCTGCTGGGGGAAGCCTCATACATACACACACATCCCTACATCCTCCAGCTCCTCTGCCCAGCTCATGTGTTAAATGGCTTTTAGATAAGCTGCTCAGTACGGTGACATGATTTAAGGTCGTGACTGGCACAGGATAATTTGCGATAAGCTAAGCAGGATTGACTTTTGGCTTGGTGATTAATTTACCAGCTTTACATTGGCAGGTGGGAATGCATACACAAATCTAAGATAAAGCTAATGAGCTGCAGAGATTAAAGGTAGACCAAGGAGTCACATTTTTTAGAAATACTTTAAGTATGTCTCTAAAATAATAATGAATTTTTATTTGTAACTTCATTATTTCCTTATTAAAAGAAAAAAGAAATTATAAATTTAAGAAAACTTAAACTACATAATAAACATTTCATACTTTTCAAGGCTTAACGGCAGTAAGAAAGCTCCCCAAAAGCTATAGATCCTTGAAAAGCTTTTAGTATATCAAGGAACCAGTTTCATGCTATAGGAAAAACTTCCCTTAAAAATAAAACCCAAAAAATATACAAAAATGATTCAATATTTTAATTGAACAAAACACACAATCGTACACTTATCACATTAAGTTTTGTCTGTCTCTAAGTCGGAAATACGTAGAAAGTCTTGGTTAGTTGCACTTGATCTCTGTAGCCAAATGATAAAACTAATTACAAAAAAAACGAACGAAAGGCATGTCTTGGAAATGTAGAAATGGAGCTATAAAAAAGGGCAGCAACTGAAGCCTAAATGCGGCTCTTGGAGTTCGCCTTGACTTCAAATAGTTTGCGCACAAAAAAGACCTGCAAAGTAAGCAATAATTTAATATAAAATAAAGCAGCGTTGACAGAATTCTCCCCCTCTTACCTGAATTGAGCACGTGATCAATATGACCACAATTTGGCTAATCGAAAAGGTTTGAATGTAGGCATTGTTGTCCAACAGCAGGGCATAGTCCCGCGACTCGCGGTGCCGGCTATGTGCCTGATATCCCATCATATCGTTGATGTTGCGCTCTACAGTGCCAATGGTGGCCTGAGAATATATAGATCAACATGAGTCTTAAATGGGTGTGATCCAAAAAACCAGTTTTAACTCACAGTAAAGTTTTGCATGTTGAGCTGCAGCTGTTCAATTTCCTTGGCGTACTTGTCCCAGGCATCGTACTTCACCACGGTGATGTAGATGTTTACCAGCTTGCCGGCAAAGCGGGAGAACTGGTTATCAATGCACACCGAATAGTAGCCGCCGGGTGAGACCTGGTCGGTGTAATCAGCGGTGGCCTGCCACTGATAGGGCTTTACCACCTCGTTGGCAGGATTGCGGACTGCAAAGCCAGCCATGCCATCGCCACCGCGGACCACCTGGAGAAGAGAAAGGTTTCCTTAAGTAAACTGCTCTTTGATTCTCCTGCAAACCGCCCAACTCACGCTAAACGACACATAGAAGGTGGCTCCCGCCTGCACATACTGGTGATAGCAATCCTCCTTGCCAGCATCAATGTGAACCTGGAAAGGGAGAAGGAAGAGTGCTGATTAGGATCCATGTAGAGATTCCTGAGATACCCACTCACCTTGTAATCCATGGCCACTGCGGGCAGGTTTTCGTACCATGGCTGCTGTGCCTCTTGCGCCGTGGCCGTGTCTATGAGCAGGCAACAACAAATCAGGGCAAGTGGAAGTATTAAATTTATCTGCTCTCTCTGCCACGTCGATTGCATTTTGGGGAATCTCGGTGCTGCCTGCTGTTGGTGTGTCTGGATGGGGATTATCACGGGGGCGGCGGCCTTGTTGCGTTTTCCAGTGCGCTCTCTGTCAGCTTTGAGGGGGTGGGAGGTATTCAAGCCGGTTAGCTTTCTATTTGCTAAACAAACATTAAGTCCACCAAACCAAATTCAATAAACAACCAACCTGTTGCGCTGCCAACCTTGTTTAAAAGTGCAACAAGTTGGCAGTCTCGCGTTTTTGGTATTTTTTAAGACAGGGTTGCCAGAGTGCGATAGTATTGGATGACAAGTAAGCGGTTTTTTTGAAAGGGAGGTTTTAGATGGAAATTTTAAATCATTTTAAGTTAAAAAATATTGGTATAAGACTTGGGTTAATAATTAAATATTTTTATTAATTTTAATTTAATTGAATTTATTTCATTTAATTAAATTTTTTAAAATATAAAATATAAAAATGTTTGTTAATTTATTTAAAATATTATATATTATATAAATTTATATACGTATAAATTAAAAATACATTGAGATACAAAATATAAAAAAATATATTAATTTATTTAGATAAATGTTTAATATTTTAAATACCATTTTCAAATGCAAGGACTAATACACCGTAAAAACAATCTATTTTGAATTTTTAAGTTGTTTTATTATTAAATTAATTAGTTAAATTTGTTAAACATTAAAATTTAAATTATTGTTTATACAAAACCCCCTCGAAAATTAAAATGCCGACGCTCTGTCCTCAAAATCAACAAATTTAAAAAAGGTGGCAGCTCTCACAATTTAAAATCTTAATTTATTAGTGCTTATAAAAGCAGTGAAAACAAACTAAAATAAAACCAATCTTCAGCTAATATAAAATAACTTCTAATTCTTGAAAAAACCCTCCCCCCACCCAATCCCAAACTGCTTCTCATCTTCCTTATCACAACCCTCTCCAGCGCCGCCTTGTGATAACGCAATTAACATATGCTTGTGTTTTTGTTTGCGGCTTTTTTGCGATTATTTAAACAAACACAATTGCACACCAAGCCAAGTGTTGATTAACCTCTACGTGGTGTAGAGGGTCAGATAAAAACCAAGTGCACTTGGCACTCACACAGCTGCGCCCAAAGCCACCACAACATGGTCAACGTCACCGAGGATATTTTCGCAACCGGCGCCGTAAATCCATTCACCAAGAAACAGGAGGACATCAAACGCTTCACCCTGACCAATGGCTACGGCATGTCTGTCCAGTTGATCAGCCGCGGAGCCATCATCACGAGCATAAAGACACCGGATTCCCGTGGCCAAGTGGATGACGTGACGCTGGGTTTTGATGATCTGGCGGGCTATCAGAGCGAGCGGAATCCATATTTCGGTGCCACCATTGGACGCGTATGTAACCGCATCGGTGGAGGACGCTTCGAGCTGGATGGCAAGGTGGTGGAGGTTTCCAAAAATCGAGACAACAAGTTCCAGTTGCACGGCGGCTTTGTGGGCTTTGACAAGGCCCACTGGCAGGTGGTGTCAGTGCGGCAGGATGGCGTCACTCTCTCGCATACCAATCCCGATGGACACGAGGGATATCCTGGAACAGTGACGGCCACAGCTAGCTTCACCCTCAGCGAGGATAACTGCCTGCACGTCCGGATGACCGCTGAGAGTGACAAGCCGACGCCCGTGAATCTCACCAATCACTCGTACTTCAATCTGGCCGGTCATAAGGCCGGTGCCAATGGTCTCTACGAGCACACCGTCGAAATCAATGCCTATGGGATCACCGAAACGGATAGGGACTCCATACCCACTGGCAAAATCACACCCGTGGAGGGGACATCCTTTGATCTGCGCGTGGCCAGCAACCTGGGTGAGCGTCTCAAGGAGCTGCAACCAGCCCGTGGATACGATGACAACTTTTGCGTGACATTCAGTCCGCCGCAACCATTGGCCAAGGTGGCCAGGGCCACACATCCGCCCACTGGACGTTGGCTGGAGGTGGTTAGCAATCAGCCCGGCGTGCAGTTCTATACCTCCAACTTTATGCCGGACGTAGAGCGTGGCGAGACACCGATTCCTGGCAAGGATGGGGCACAGTATGCCAAGCATGGGGCCTTCTGTATGGAGACTCAGAAGTTCCCGGACTCTGTGAACCATAGCAACTTTCCCACTACGATTCTAAGGCCGGGCGAGATCTACAACCACGAAGTCATATACAAGTTTGGGGTATGTCAGTGAGTTGTGAGAAGCTTATCTGATCGAAATATATAATATAGGTAATGCCATGTATGTATGTATATCCGTTAAACGATAATAACCAATAAACCGAAGAGCACGCACTCATAAAACCGGGGCAATTAGTATGGTTTTCAAGCTATATATAGGCTGCAAACCAAGGCGTTGACACAAAATCATTTAAAATGATCCTTCAGTTGGTACTTCTCCTTCAAGTCGCTCTTGGCTTCAGCCAAGAAATCGGTTCACTGCGGATTATGAATGGCACTAAGGCCAAGTTGACCCAGTTTCCCTATCAAGTGGGGCTGCTATCCTTTTTTCAGGATCACATGGATGAACCTAATCTCTGTGGAGGAGCTATCCTCAACGAGTTTTTTATATTGACAGCTGCACATTGCCTGCAGGATCCGAAGTCGAAGCTGTAAGTAAATCTTATTAATTATATTTATTCAACTTTCTTTCTTACAGCTCCAAGGTCATAGTCCAAGTGGGCAGTTTGTATGCTCCTGGGGATGAGAAGGCCATCACAGTTGAACCCATCAACACCCGTGTCCATAAGAATTTCAATCGCAAGACTGTGGAAAACGATCTAGGGCTGATCAAGTTGCCCAGGATGATCAAGTTTAATTGGTTGAGACAACCCGTCAAGTTGCCTAAGAACCCGTTAAGGAAGTTTACAGGTCGCCAGGCCGTCGTGGCTGGCTGGGGTCTAACCACTAAGAAGGAGCCCAGCAGTGTCCTTCAGTACCTCAATGTGACCATCATTTCGAATAGTGAATGCCAGAGGCAGTGGACCAAACAGCTCAATGGCACAGGAAAGAGGAAAGATATCTACAGTTCCTTTATGTGCATTGATTCCAAGGAGGGTCTGCCATGTCAAGGAGATTCCGGTGGTCCTCTGGTTCTGGCTGATGGCTCTAGAACCTTGGTGGGAGTTGTGTCGCATGGCTATGACTGGGCTTGCAAGATAAAAGTGCCAGATGTTTCCACAAGAGTTTCACAATTTGTAAAGTGGATAGAGATCAACATGCTAAGCATGTAGAAGCTTGGAGAAATAAAGTTTTACCCAGGATATCTTTTCAAACGTGTGCTTTATTCTTATTACTTCATACAAACTTCCATTCACTGTCTCGTTATCCTTTTTCTCCGTTCGGTTCTCATAATATTCTCTTGTGGCTTTGCTAAATTTGTTATCATTTCTTTATGTATTATGTTATTTTGTGACTTTTGACGGTGTTGCATGTCGTTTAAACAATTTTATGTTTTATGATAATGTTTACATGTTTCTCGTTTTGTGGGCTTTGTTTACGTGTGTGTCTCTGTGTTTTTGTGTGTGTGGTTAATGTTGCTGATTATTTGCAATTCTTTTCTTAATTTTCATTGCTATTTCTCGTAAATGCAGTTCTCAAAATGTACAAAAACCTAAATGGAAATGATACAATGAGTGTGAGTGAGATATACTTTGGTTCTTTCAACGATTCTTTTAGTATTTTTGTTTTCTATATGTACAAAAAGTGTTAACGAAATTCTGAAAAAGCTATACAATTTGTTAGTTTTAACAAAGCGAATAAGTTGTTTAAGAAACTCGGCTGAATAAATTAGTTTTCTTATCGTTTTGTTTTTGGTTTTTTTGTTTTTTTACGGCTGCTTGAAGACTTCAGAAAAATTTGTTTGTAACTAGCGTAAAATTTGTTCGTTATCTTTCGTTTAAATATATAAAAAATGCACATATTATCCGTAGTAAATAATAGATGTAAAGTAATTGTTAAATTGATTTTCTCTTCTCAAGTTTTTCTTTTTTTGCTTTATTTTCGTTTGCTTGTAAAAATGATCAAGTAATTTACTATGCGTTCAACTAGTTTATTTTCATATTGAAATATATATGCTTTACATATATATTATATATATATATAGAATATATATATATAATTTGGTAACTTTCAATATTGCGTTTATCATTTGCCTATAAATCCATAGAGTTTCGTGTGTGACTTGTAACTATATGTTATCATAAATGTTATTTGTTATTTTTATTTCCTGTTCCGAAAACCGAAATTGGAATTTAGCGGCAATTTTTGTTAATTTTTGGAAATACATAAATGATTCAAGAACAGTTTTTCATTTTCCCTTAGCTTGAAGAAGTGTAAATTTTGTATGCTTTCTTTTCGTTCGTATAAAATGTTGGTTGGGCTTTTGTTTTATTTTTTATTTGGTTTTTTTAACATACGCAAAATATATTTTGTATATTTTCCACGTCTCACTTAACTAGGGCTTTATGTATAAGTTAATATTATTATTTATTACTTTTGCTAAACTTTGCTTTCCTTTTGCTTGTCTTTATGTTTAATTTTATGTTTTTTTCGTTTTTCCTTTTGTTGAAACAGTAACTTTCAGTCATCTTGTAATCATAATACATACATACATATATGCAATATTACATACGTACAATAATATTCTGGTTTCGTAATTTAAATTTGTTATGAGCGCCGCCGTACAATGCATAAAAAACGCATTCCCTTTCTTATATAGTGTGTCGTGTTCTCGTAATTTCACATCGTTTAGGTTTCGGTTTCGGTTTCCTCCATATCGATTGTATAAAAGCTAAAATGTTATCCGCTGCGTATGACAAAAAGTTACCTAGGCATGTAAGTATTTTTATACCCTTGCAGGGTATTATAATTTCAGTCAGAAGTTTGCAACGCAGTGAAGGAGACGTTTCCGACCCTATAAAGTATATATATTCTTGATCAGCATCAACAGCCGAGTCGATCTAGCCATGTCCGTCTGTCCGTCTGTCCGTCTGTCCGTCTGTCCGTCTGTCCGTCTGTCTGTCTGTCTGTTTCTACGCAAACTAGTCCCTCAGTTTTAAAGCTATCTGAATGAAACTTTGCATATAGTCTTCTATATGCTCTCACTGCTATATATGTCGGAACGGGCCGGATCGGACGACTATATAATATAGCTGCCATACAAATGTTCGAAAAATTTTAAGAAAAAAAATTATAACTTGGCTGTTTTTCAATAATTTTGCATCATTTTTGAGATATAGCCATTTTATATTATTCCAGAATTTTGGTAGAAATTTTATGAAAATCGGACGACTATATAATATAGCTGCCATAGGAACGATCGGGAAATTAATAGAAATAAAATCATAGCTTCGTTGTTTTTCAACGCATTTTTATTTACTCTGAGATATACGTTTTTTTTATTATTCTAGAATTTTGGTATAAATTTCATAAAAATCGGACAACTATATCTTATAGCTGCCATAGAAGCGATCGGTAAATGTAGAGAAAATATAAAGCTGGGAATGTAAAACTGTAACTGTCAAACTGTAAACATAATAAGTATAGGTAAAATGTAATGAAACTCTGTTTTGTGAGTGTTTTCAGCATTTAAATCTATAAAATAAACATCAAAACCAATCTGCAAGGGTATACAAACTTCGGCGTGCCGAAGTTAGCTTCCTTTCTTGTTTTATTTGTTACCGATCGATCGGCCGATACAAAAATTCATCGCTCATTTCCGGTTCCATTTATCGTTCGAGTTTCATCTTGTTTTTTGGCAGTTATCGTTTAGGTTTCCTTTTGACATGTTTTGTGGTTGCTGTTCTTGTTGCTGCTGTTGCGATATCTATATACCGATATCGGCTGAATATCATTAACTTGACGTATGCTTATGTCGCTATCTTTAATTATGTATATGCTAAGCAACTAACATTGGACCATTTCCATTGCGCGACGCACTATATAAGAAAACTAGCTACTTGATTAATTTACCTTTATCCATATATATGCATATATTATATATATATATTATGTTATGCTCGTATTTATATATTTATATTCGTATTATAATGCAGTTACGTTGCGTTACGTTATTAAAAAGAATTACGCCGGCAGCTGGGAGACTGCCAAAAGTAAAGGAAACCCATGGACACCCATCTCAGGCCCAGCCCAGCGGAAATTGTATATTGTACAGCGAAAGCATCCACCTATCCAGGCAGCACCAGCTAATGATCACCTGGTGCAGGTGCTGCCTCAGGCAGACTATAACCGTCACTGCCGCCACCACCACCACGATCAGGACCAGGACAATGGCCACAAAAAGTCATCAGTCGCACTCGGGCCCCTCCGAGAAGTGACCCCGCACGTCCAGGGCGGAGGCCAGCTGAAAGATGATGTGCGACAGCGACGGATGCTCCAGGAGCTCGTTGGCCGGCAGTGGCGGTTCGCAGCGTGGCCTCATGTGTCGCCCCCGGAAGCCGCGGTGCAGGCGCAGGACCACATCACAGAAGACAAAGCGGAGGATCAGGGTGCGCAGGAAGTCGTCGCCAAAGAACTGGACATAGGAGGAGTCTGAAAAACCCATGGATTACATAAGAGATTCCCATTAAATATATTCCAAAACTCACCTATAAATCCTATGCCCTGTTCGATCTCATCGATGCGACACCGGGTGACCAGGCGCGAGGCCTCCGTGATGAAGCGATCCACATAGGTCTGGCAGCGTTCCCAGTGATGGATGGGCACGTCGCCGACATTGCAGATGTAGCAGAGGGCGGTGAGCGGGGAGTGCAGGAACAATGTGAACAGCGACCCATGATGCTGGACATCAGCTGTGAAAAAAACAAACAAATCTTTAGCATTTTCTCTTCTAAAACCAAACTACAAGGATAATCTCACCCTGGAATGCGGGAGGCACATCCTGGGGCGACATGAGCACCACCAGCGGCTGTCCAAAGTAGCGCGGTATGTGCTGAAAGACAAACGAGTTGTCCGAGTCGATGATGATGAACATGGGCCGGCGTGTAAAAGGATACAGATCGCCGGGATAGAGGCAGTGATTCTCCTTGTACGACTTGCCGCGGCACGACAACCCGCCGCCGTCCACGCTGTCCCGCTTCACGCTGGTGGCCAGGCCGCCCAGCTCATAACCAACTGGAAAAGCGAAATTCATTTGTCAAGGATAACGATAAATAATAATCCTGATTACTTACAATCCTCGGGATGTTTGGTGGTGGAGAAGCAGCCGTCAGCCGACATGTACAGAAGCAGGGCACCGCCAAGCGGCAGTTCCTTGAAGCCGCTGGCCAGGAACACCAGCAGCTGGCTTATCGATGGCTTATACAGCAGATACTTGTGGGGATTGTCTCGAAAATGACGGCCATTCTCCATGTAGCCCTTAGAGCCGGGCACTCCATATGGCGGTATCCGACTGGCCGCCGGACTTGCATCATGACCATGCAGGCCATGGGCCATGCTCAGCGGATTCGTGGCCGATTCCGTGGGCTCGCGTTCCAGCGTCTGCAGCATCCGGAACATGTCCATGGTCAGTTCGGAGAACTTGGCTTGCTCGCAGGCAGAGCCCACGATCAGGATCTCCTGCAGGCTGAGCGTCATGTGTGGCGAGCGCTCGCAGGGCGGCGTCGTGAGCGGCGACAACCTAGAACCGGAACCACTGGACACATCAGTCGAGGTAGTCGCACTCGTCCTCCGGCGAATGGCGGGGCCCGTGCTTTCACAGAAGAATTGAGAATGTGGCGCACTAATGAGGTGACAAGGGTTCGGGTGTCGGGGGTGTAAGGGTGTCTTGGTGGGATCGGGGGTTTCAAATGATAATGAAATGATAATATTTTGTGGTGTGTATATGTCGGGTTGGGCCATTGAACTTTATTTTAATTTATATTTAAAACTATGTTTCAACAGTTTGTAGTGATTTTTTTTACCAAAAACATTGCATACTTTTGTGCACCATTTTAAGGGATTTTAAAATCCCATGGAGTTGTGTAAAACCGACATAAAATTAATTAAATTAAAGTAATTAATTAAATTTAATGAGTAAACCAATTATTTATAAAAATATTATTTATTTAAACAAGTATTAAAGATATTTCACAACGTTTCTATACTCATTTTAATTGATAATTAATAATTAACCAAATTAATTTCTTACTTAATCAGTAAGATTTTCATAAAATTATTTTACAAAATAATTATGTATTTTACTTTATAAAAACAACAGTTCCTTTGGCCCAACTCAGCTTGTGGTTGGATTTGTGGGTGTTTCGGGACAGAGAGTATGGGTAAAGTGCATGACGAAATGACAACGGTGAGTGTTTCTTTGGTGTTTCAAGTCTTCTGTGATAAGCACAACAAATGAACATAATCAACGGCAACTGAACTCAAGCAAAACTCGTATACCTACGCAAACAGAACAGGGCATATATATATATAGACAGGAGTGCCAAGGAAATCGTTATTAAATTGAAATCACTTTAAAAAGTGTCTAAAATTAGGCAATAAAATATTCTTCTTCTTTTGAATTAGTAATATATTTATAATAGCAAACTTTTAGACACCATATTAATAGTTTTTCGATTCCTTTGATACCCCTCATCGTACGTAGACATATGCGGACAGAGAGAGGCCACTGCCCAGCACCCCACCAGCTGTCCAAACTCCTCCTTCGCCGACGAAAGCACGGGCTAAATACGCGAGTACGGCTAGAAGCTGTGCCAACGACTCACCTGTGCGACAATATGATGGGATTGGAATCGGCATGTAGTACGGCCACCGCCGCCTCTGCCTTAATGAAGCCCTTGATCTCCTCCAGCACCAGCGACCACTCCAAATGATCCTCCGGCTCGTAACTGCGGGGAAATCTGGGGATTAATACGGAATACATAAGTGGGGCTAACTAATTAGTTACGTGTTGGTGTACTCCTGTATTTGCTTCTCCAGTTCGGTGACCAGCTCGCGCACCAGCTTCATCTTCTTGAGCAGCAGGCAGACGACTATGAAGCGGGCATAGTATCGCAGCTTTTTCACCATCAGATCGGGCCGATCCTCTTTCGCAGCCCGCGAGTAGTAGGCCCTGCCTCTAATGGCCGCATAGAACTGATACGCCTCATTCAGGTAGTTCGTTTCGCTGGTTCTTAAGCTAGAAAAATATAAGGAAAAATTGTTAATATATCCGATAAATCATATAGTTTTATATACTCACTAATAGTGATAATAGAGCTGGCCAATTTTGCTTGCTATTTCGCCGATCTGCCAACGCTTTAGGCCATACTTGGAGTCGAGCACCATGCGATGTTGCTGCTGGAACTTCCACAACTTGGTGTAAACATCGAAGGTGCGACCGAAGTAAGCTTGCCACTGCCGATGGCCATACTGCGGCAGATCCCTGTGATTAATACTAATATTAATTAGTTGCAACAATATTTTGATAGCTGAGACCGACTCACCTCAGCCCGTTGAAGAGCTGCTTGGACTTCTCGAGCAGGTGGCAGAACTCCAAAACTAGCTTTCGATCCTGTTCTTCCGTGGATTCCATTTTCACCATGCCGTTCTTCTCAACCGCCACCGCAATGTGTTATGTCTGCGAATCGGATCTGCTGGAAATGGAGATTATGAAAGGGATTATTAGGGAGTTTATGAGGGAAGAGTTAGAGTTAGCTCGAAAATGTATCTTAAAAAATGAAAGTTTAACAAGAAAGGAAGCTAACTTCGGCACGCCGAAGTTTGTATACCCTTGCAGATTGGTTTTGATGTTTATATTATAGATTTAAATGCTGAAAACACTCACAAAACAGAGTTTAATTACATTTTACCTATACTTATTATGTTTACAGTTTGACAGTTACAGTTTTACATTCCCAGCCTTACATTTTCTCTACATCTACGGATCGCTTTATGGCAGCTATATGATATAGTTGTCCGATTTTTATAAAATGTATACCATAATTCTAGAATAATAAAAAAAGCATATATCTCAGAGTAGATAAACATACGTTGAAAAACAACGAAGCTATAATTTTTTTTCCTATTAATTTCCTGATCGTTCCTATGGCAGCTATAAGATATAGTCGTCCAATTTACATAAAATTTTTACCAAAATTCTGAAATAATATAAAATGGTCATATCTAAAAAATGGTGCAAAAATGTTGAAAAACAGCAAAGTTATAATTTTTTTTCTGCAAATATATCGAACATTTGTATGGCAGCTATATGATATAGTCGTCCGATCCGGCCCGTTCCGACATATATAGCAGTGAGAGCATATAGAAGACTATATGCAAAGTTTCATTCAGATAGCTTTAAAACTGAGGGACTAGTTTGCGTAGAAACAGACAGACGGACAGATGGACAGACGGACAGACGGACAGACGGACAGACGGACAGACGGACAGACGGACATGGCTAGATCGACTCGGCTATTGATGCTGATCAAGAATATATATACTTTATAGGGTCGGAAACGTCTCCTTCACTGCGTTGCAAACTTCTGACTGAAATTATAATACCCTGCAAGGGTATAAAAATGTGCCTAAAAGTATACTATGATTTCAGTGTTTCATACTTTTAAGCTTATTTTGAAGAGATTTCAAATCTCTGGTCATTTTTAAAATTGAGTAAGATATTTCTCTCGAAACAAAAATGTATCTTAAAAAGTATAGTATCTTAAAGAGTGAAAGTGGTTTAAAAATCTGTCTTGAAGTATACTATGATTTTAGTGTTACGTACTGTTAAGCATATTTCGAAGATATTTCTACTTATTATTAAGACTAAGTAAGATATTTCTCCCTAAACAAACTAACTAAGACCATGTTTCCGATATGTATCTACCCTTCCAAATATCTATCTATCGGTGCACGTATCTATTGTAAACGAGATGGAGGAGGCAGAGGAGCAGGCGCTGACTGCCCACTTGAGATTCATTCAGCCGCTCGTTGAGCCATTGTCGATGTGGATAATATGGATAATGTGCATAATGACGATGATGATGTCAATGGGTTCGATGCTGATGCCGTAGCTTTGCTCACAATAAAATGAAATGCCTATGCGGCTTTTTTTATCCCCTGGCAATGCATATTAAATATTTAATTTTTATGTTTCCCAAAAAAAAACGAAGAACGAACGACGAAATACTGGAATTTCTGATTATGTTTGTTTTTCTAAGCGAATTTAAGATGCAAGGCTGGTTTCCCGGTCGCGATTCCAATACGAATTCAATTAAAATTTCAATTTGGTAAAAACAATTATGTAGCCTTTTAAGTGCACACGGACAGATGGATGAGATGGCCCGGGATACCCAGGATGAGAGAGATGAAATGGGATGAGACAATCGTTATACTGGGCTATGCATCAAAAGCTCAATTAATAACGCCCGACCAGGCGAACAGGCGACCAGGCGACTGGGCGAAATTGTTTGCACAAAAAAAAAAAGGAAAAATAAAAAAGAAACAGAAACCACACACACACGGGGGCCACAGTACGAGGAAAAACCCGGAAAATGTCGAGCAGGGCAGAGCAGGAAAACAGAGTAAATGCACAAAAGGGTCGGCAGTGCAAATGGCGCCGCAGCGGCCACATTGATTTGGCTTTGGCCAAACTAGGTCGCCCCACAGAGCACAAAAACTTTCAATATGAGCTCATCAGGCAGCAGCCAGTAGCCAGTAGTTTGGTACAGTGAAAACAAATATATGAATTCAAGATTGATTTAAAAATTTGCATATTTTTATTTAAAATTAAAGAGGAATGATACTGAAATAGTTGTGGATAGGAAATCACTTCAAATGGCGTCAAAAAGTATGCTATTAAATGTTAAGCACAAGGAAGATATTTTTTTCGATTTTGGAGTTTTTTAAAAGTAATTGGAAATTTTTAGAAATATTTTGTAATTTATTATAAATTTGAATTTCATTTATTTTACATATGACAAAATTTTTTTAAGTAAATACTGCTTATACATATTTGTATATATTTTTAATAAAAGCAAAATATTCTTGAAAAAGAATTATTTTTTTTTAATTTAAAGAAAAGACTTCAAATCAATTAAAAAATGTTCTCAAAACTACCTAAACTTTCTCTCTGTGCACCCTGAAATGGCAACAGGGGACACAAGATGGTAGCTGAGCGATGGTGTAAATATAGTTTCCCTTTCTTTTTTTTTTTGGGCCGGGGAAGTGCTGCTGGGAAACTGCGTCAAATATGCGTCACCTCGGCGAGCGAGCGGCCAACCAACAAGTCGATTGGGGCACACACAACTAGTAGGACACACATTTATGGCGCCCTAATCAAATTAAGCTTCCATTTAGCGCGTTGAAATTACATAATATGAAAATTACGCATACGCAGCGTTAACAAACAAGCGGCGAGTGGAGTGGAGGAGCCTCCACCGAGTGGCGAAAGCAAAACAAAGCTGACTCACTCAGTCACTGAATGACAGACTGGCACTGGCACTGGCTGCTGCTGCTGCTGCTCCTGCTGCTCCTGCTGCTGCTGACTTCATCATCGCCATCATCCTCGACAGAAGTTAACCAACATCATCAGCATGTCAACATGTGGAAGCCGGAAATGAAGAAACACAAATACTAAGCACAGTCGTTGCCACTGCGATGTTGCTCATTAACACCCTCCCTGCCTCCTGCTGTCTCGTCGTCCCGTTGGTCTTCCCTCTGAAAGTCCTTTGCCCCTCAGAACCCACACAGAGTGGAGTAGACAGGGCCATGCCGGGATGTAGTCTTTGCCACCAGCAAAAATGTCAAAGATGATTAAAGGAAAACTAATAATAATTAAAAAACAAAACTAAGCAACTTTAAATTTTGAAAAATTAAAAGAACGTAAACAATTTTTTAAGATGTCTAAAAGATGGTTCAAAAAAACTATAAAATTTGTGGGAAATTACGTCGAAAGGGATAAACAAAACTACTTTAAAATTAAAATATTGTCTTTAAGTATTTTAAACTATTTAAAGTTGGGATGATTTAATGATAAATTAATTCAGTTTCCAATTTAAATTCTAGATTTGGAAACTGTTTTTTTTTTAATCTTTTTAAAGTTTGCTAGAGGACATTTTTGTCGCCTTTGCCAAAGTCAGTCATATAGTTAACGCGGCAAAGTTCTTCCCCCTTTCTTTTCTTTTGTTGTAAGCCCTGTTGCTTGTGTTGTTGTTGCGTGTGTGACAATATGTACAACAGCAACAACAACAAGTAAAACAAGAAGAAGGAAAAAAGTAAGACACAAGCTACGGGAGCGAGTACAACTGTTGGTGGAAAATCCCAATCCCAGTCAAACAAAGCGTGCAAAAAAAAAAGGGAAAAAGCGGAGTATGCAACGCACTTTGCCGCTCATCGGAGAGTTTTCCAAAGGGGAGCAAGGAGGCGGAAGCGGCCAGCAGGCTCCCTTTTGACTGACTGCCAGTGCGTGCTTCTATGAGTGAGGGTGTTGTATGTGTTTTTCAATGCCCGCCAGCACTCTAGCAACAACAGCAGCAACATTGCCAGCAACTGCAACACGAACAACAGCAACATTACACAGAGAAAAATTTTTTAAAAATAGACTATCCTTTATTTTGAATAGATTAATATTAAGGAGATTATCAGAATACCTTAGTGGACATTTAATAAATAAATAAACCATATTTTAGATTGAAATAACTGCAATTTAATTGTTATTTTGCATCATTAAAAGTTTCCCTAATTATTTTTCATTAAATTATTATACAATTTCTTTCAGTGTCTCAACTATTCGCTGCTACTCCGCGCTCTTTGCTATTTGACAAAGCTGCACATTTTTTCCGTTTCGCTCCTTTTCTTTCTGAAAGTGGGAGTGTGTGTGGGTAAACAAGGAGTGAACTGTGTGTGTGTGCGAGTGTGTAGAGTGTGTGTGTTTGGAGGTTGGGTGTGTAATCCTTCAAAGGCATTGTAGGCTACACATTTAATGACATTTTGACGCTGCTGCCAACGTTGATAATGATGTTGTCGTACATGCAACGTCCGCATCCGCAGCAAACTTCAAGTTGTCTGTCCCCCCGAAAAAAGTCCTTTTCCTCCCAGTCCCCCCTCTTTCCGCCCATCCAGTCATTAGGACTTATGAATTTCGGTTTAACAATTGAGCAGCCTGGCTGGAAAACTTTGGCACAGTTCAGCCTTCATAATTAATGGTGAAAAAAAAAAGAAGAAGAAAATTCCACAACACTTTTACATATAAAAACCAACTACTTGAGTGGGCCAACTTTACCCTAATGATACAGACAGACGAGAGTCCGCTCTGGTCCGAAAGTTACAATTCTCATATCTCGCTGCAGACATCACACAGAGGCTGAGGCTGCTGCACAAAAACTTTGCCAGAACCAAAAAGCCAGCCAGGATGCGAGTGACCAGCGTGGAACTTTTCCCTTGGCCTCAGGACATTTTTTTTTTTTTTTTTGCTGTTGCTGTAGTGAACTTTGTTCGACTGTCGCCCGGGGGCAATTTACATTTCACATTTAATTGGCAATTTCTATTTATCGAAATTGATCTCGCCCCCCGAAGTTGCCAAAAGGATGTTTGTATTTCAACACAGCATGCCGGCGAGTACACACAAAGAGGAAAACTGTGTGTGCGGATGGATAGTAGTAGCAGGAAAATTAAATTCATTCAAGGTACATGGAGCTTTATCTGTTCATATTTTAATTTTCTATATAATAAATGTCAAAGGGAAATTATTATTTATATATTTTGTTCTTTTTATTTACGAGTTGCACATTTTAATATGGGCAGAGAATAAATATTACATTTTTTATCGGACTTGGGACCTGTGGAGTACAGTGTGAAAAATGGGTATTTCTTATAGAAAATGTTAGATATTCTTTGCTTTATCTAAAAATTAAATTATATATTATTTTAATTGGTTTTTAGGTGTAAAAGACTCTTAGTTCAGGAAACTGAATTTATACTTAAGGTTTCTGAATAAAAATTTTACCAAAGTCAAAAATGGTCCTGCTAAGGGTTTCAGAAGGATGTATGAGGGATAGAACAGTGAAATATTCACTACATGAATTTTTTACATGCAATTTGCACATTTTTCCAGACAATAATCTCATTAAAATGTCCTGAATATTTTAAAAAATTGCGTTTCATATTTCTACCAAGTTATCAGTTTGCTTTAATCTAATAAGGATAAAAAACAACGTATTTTTTTTAGGATAAAAAATCATAAAAACCACGTGGTTATTTTAGTATAAAAAAAGTCTAAAAATTTGGTAACAATATCAGTTTTTTAACCACAATTGAGGTCTTTTTTGTTGTTCTAAAAATTTAGTTTACCTACAAAAAATGTAATTAAGATCTTGTAAGAGACAGGGAAAAACTGGTTCATTATCTTGCTTTTTCTTGTCTTTTTCTTTTGGAAGAAAGCCCACCTGCTTTAACAGCATCCTTGGGTAATTCTTGTTTCAATTGTCACAATTTATAAAATAATAAATAATAAAAATAAAGGAATTATTTTATATTCAATTAAAAAACTCACCTTATCATTGTTGTATCTGCTGCTGCTGCCACAAACAACAACAACAGAAACAGAAGCGGATACGGAAACAGCGAACTCGGTCGCAGTCGCAGCCTCTGCTAGCAGTCGCTGCCCGCTGCTGCCGCTACCGCCACCGCTGCCGCTGCTGCTGCTGCTCCTGCTGCCGACGTCAACGTCGCCGTTGTAGGTAGTTGTTGTTGCCGCCGTGGTGCAATTAGATTAGCCGTCTTTGTTGCCTCCGCCGCTGCTGCTGCTGCCTCTTCCACTGCAGACGTCGACGACGCCGTCTTAGCTTTGTTGGTGGCGCCTTGCACTTGACATATGTTTGCCGGATTCGCCCAGAATCAGGATCTGTATCTGGATCTTGGCCTCTATATCTACACGTCGAGCACTCGTTCACTTTTCACTCACTAGAAGGCAGGCCTGGACGACTCTTCTTTTCTTTTCTTTTTGCCGGTTTGCAACTGTTTGCCCACACACACGGATTTCACTGGGGATTGCGGATTCTCATTCTCTCTTCAATAATCACTGGGCGCTTTCTCAATTCTTTTGGGGGGGATTTACACGGATCTCGAGAGCGTTACGTGCGGGGGGATAAAAGCGGGGAGCGGCAATTGTGAGTGGAGAACGCTGCGACCGTCGCGTTTGGCTGCACAGTATTGAATTTTTTCGCATTTACATTTTTAACGAGGAGGGTTGGGGGTTGGTATTGATTTTTTTCGCCACTTTGACAGTTGTATAGTGCCGGTGCTAGCCGCCAGAGGGTGTGCGCTGACAGTTAACAATTTTTGCGGGGGTTGAACAGCTGATGGGCCAAAAAGCCGTTACAACAGTACATTTTCAAGGGAAAAGTCTCCAAGGGGGTTGAAAAGTTTAGAAATCTAACGGTAGGCGGCGACACCTTTGAGTTTAAACAGCTGATTGGGTGTTCCAAAAATCTCCAAAACTTTTTCAAAACCTTTTTGGGGAAATTTAAAAGATTTTCAATCCTAAAAAAATTTAAAAAATTTAAAATCATGATCCCAAAAGTTTTTAGAACTTATCAGAAACCCCTCTTCTCATAGGCTTTGTTCTATAATAAATTCAATATTTTGTTCTCTACTTTTTTGCATGGGTTTCACTACATGAACACATTTTTTTTAGTTTTATTGCAATACATAAAGTACAATAACATTTACATTTTGCATTACATAAAAGCGCTTTAAATAATATTTGGTTTTTGGTTTTGTTTTGTTGCTTGATAAAATTGCGACTAAAATTGTTGCGGTTTTAAGTGCCTGCTCTTTCACTATCACAGTGAAATAAATTACATTGTTTTTGGGATACAGTATACCATAAATATATATATATTTATATACGCTTATGTGTGTGTATATTCGTCATGTAAAACAGTAGCTAGTGTTGCATGATAGGTAACCATATTATATGGCATATACAGACATATTTATATATGTATAATCCCCTAACTATCATTTAAGACGCCAGATTTTTCATTCATTTGGAATATGCGCATGGCTTTTTTTTCAGTCTTTCAATAAATCCAAATAATCCTAACGTCCGATATACATTCTAGTTGCCTCAGGTATATATACCGCAAGTTTCACTCATATATAAGGTAGCTACGAGTATAATTTTGGATCTTAGGGATATTTTGTAACTTAATTTTGGAATCATCTACTCTTAGAAGTAACTTCTATTTTGGGTTCATTTTTTGTATATTGTCATGTGGTTTCTGGTTTTGCTAAATATTTACCTTATACGAAGGAACCTAGCGGTATATATACGTGATTAGTTAAGCTATGTGGTTTATGTTTAAAATTTGGCTTCTGGTTACCATTTGAAAGTAATGTTCGATGTTTTGAGACGCGAATGGAGTTGAGCTAAGTAAATCGTTTTGGAGGAGATTGGGGGTAGTTGTTTGTAGATTCAATGAGTATAGGGTTAATATAATAAAATTAAATTTCTTTTATTCCCTGGTCTCTCAGGAGCTCGAAAGTTTCCGTAAACTAAAAATATATTTTGATTCTTGAGTTGCTGAATATTTAAAAACCTAAGTTTTAAAACTTTTCAATATTATTTCACATTTTTACATATATAGTTTCAACTAAATATTTTTTTAGAATATAAATTATAATAAAATTAAATTTCTTATTTCTTTGGACTCTCAGGAGCTTTACAATTTCCCTAAACTTAATATATATTTTCATTCTTGAGTTAAAATTGCAGAATATTTGAATAACTAAGTTTAAAACATTTTTTCATTATTTTCTTAATTTTTCTGTACATTTTCAACTAAATATTTGTTTTATAATATCAAATATACAATATATTCTCAGCTTTTATAAAAATTTCACTTAAAACAAGACTTTCTTCACTAAAAATGTAGCTAATATTAAAATTTAAGTAACTTTCAGCTCTATTTTTCCAGATAAATCAGATATTTTACATCCAAACCATAAAATTTGTATACTCATTGAACCACGTAACCCCCAAAAATCTCCCTTTAACTCTAGGAGCTTCATCCTCCCCTATTCTTAAGACGGTTCCTGGCTAACATCTTGGCTTGTTTTCGGCCTAGACAAGTGTTACCTACAATCGCGTGGCCTCTGACACGGTCTGAACATCTCCTGCACCTCCATGCACCTGCTGACTGGTCGTGGTGGTGGTGGAGGTGCCCACATCCGTGGTGGGACGCGGCAGGTGCGAGTAGTAGCCCATCTGGCAGGAGTTCTGGTGGGTCAGCTTCTGGCTTTGGCTTAGCTGGTACTGGGCCGCCTTGATGGCAGCCTGTTGCTGCGGCGTCAGGCAGTCACAGGCGGCCAGCAGCTCCTCCGTGGACTTGGCTGTAATGGTCGTCGTTGTGGTGGTGGTCAGCTCGCCCACAAACTCGGTGGGCGGTGGTGCATAGTTTTCCACATCGCCATAAGTGGAGTATCTACCGTAGGGATTTCTTCGTGGCATCGAATGACGCTGCTGGGGAAGTTGCATCTTCACCGCCGGGTTGACGGCCACCGTATCCAGGTAGCCATAGTTGAAGTGATAGCCCGCCTTGGTGGCCAGATTGTCCCAGGACTTGGGCTTCTGGACGTAGGCTATGGTGTTGGGATATATCTGCGAGGGCTGCATTTGTGCAGTGGCCACATGGTAGCCCTGATGATAACTAGCCTGCTGCTGTTGCTGCGGATGATGATGATGGTGGTGGTGTCCTTGATGTGGCTGTCCCTGCTGAGGGACTTGCTGCTCGTAGGATTGCCTGGACTTGGTGGAGGGCTGCCGAGACTGACCTGGCTCGCTCTTAGGATCCCAGAACAGGGTATCCGTGCTAATGGAAGTGGTGTAGGAGGCGGAATCTCCTGGGGCGAATTCACTGGAAGTGCAGGAGTGTAGGCTGCAGTGACTGGCCAGGCCGGAGGCCAAGTCAAAGTACCTGGAGCGAGTGCTGCCAGTTTGGGATTGCACCTGGCAGGGATTCTGCACCTGGTGAGTGGCATAGTGATGGTGATGGGGCACTGCTTGCGATTGCTGCTGCTGCTGTTGCTCGTGGCTGTGGTGATGATGATGATGGTGATGGTGGTGCCCAGACCCATTGGCATTCGGTGAGGCATGGGACTGGGACTTGGGTCTGACCCTCTGCTCCTTGCTCTCCACACGCTCTCGATCCCTTTCCCTATGCTTGTGCTTGTGCGTGTGCTCCTTGTGCTGGCGATGGCGTCGCCGCGTTGGCACACAATGGGTATCGCAGCAGGGACTGGCCAGATCGTAGGCATCCAGGCTGACATTGTCGGGCGCCGGCAGAGCCGACTTCTCCGCTGATTTCCAGCGAAAGTGTCCTAGGCAGGGATTGCACGAGTGCCCCACGTGACAGTGCTTCCCGGAGGACTTCTCCTTCTCCGACTTGGGTGGCTTGGCCGGCGGTTTATGCTTTTCGCAGGTGCGGGGAGGTGGAGCCGGTGGCTTCATCGATCCACCGCCAGTGGTGCTGTGGTATTGCGTGGGCGCTGTGTTCGTTGGCTGACTGACTGTATTCGTGTCCACCGATTCGGTTCTCTGCAGGATGTAACGCTGCTGTTGACCACTAAGCGGCGGCTGGTGGTCACTACTGCTTCGCTGTAGTCCTAGGCCATCGATATAGTCCTCCGAACTGCCATGGGTGGGTCTTAGGACATATCGATAGGTGGGATCCAGGTAGTGGTAGGTGAGCATAAACTGAGCTGGCGGCGGTATGATGCCCGGATGTCCACCGACTGCCGCCGCCGCCTGTTGTCGTGCTGCCATGTTGGCCACATCCTCGGTGGACAGGGCGGGACGATAGAAGCCAGTGTCACCGCCGCCTCCCTCTGTAGGAGAAACGCCTTCACCATCGCTGGGCGAGGTATTAGCAGTGGCCTTCTTCCGTGCAGGCAAACTGTGCGTCTTCCACTTGCCCTCCAAGAGTTCCCGTTCTCGGAGATGAACCCTCTCCAGCTCGTTCATCTTCTGCTGGAGCATGCTTTGTAGTTGGATGTAGCGCATGTGGAGGTCCACCTAAGGGAGAAGTGGGAATTAGAGGAGCCTCTTAGATGATGCCTTAAGATACTTTACCTTCCTCACACAATCCTCAAAGAGCACCACCATCCGCATCCTGGTGTCGCACTGCTTGATGAACTCCACAATGGTCTTGTGGTCAGCCTTCTCCATGTCGCTGCCATTGATGGACAGGATGACATCGCCCTCGCGCATCCCGGCCCTGTAAGCCGGACCACCATACTCTACATAGTCCACATACGTGATCATTTCCAGCTCCTCATCTCGCTTGTAGTGGATGCCATAACTCTGCAGGGTAAAGCCATACGAGTCATTCTTCTTCTCCACTATAATAGTGCGTCGCCGTCGATCCTCATCCGGCTTTGAGGCCAGGAAGCGTTCGGACTTGTAGCGCCCCAGGATATGGGTGGAGCGGGAAAGCTGAAATAAAAGGATAAAAAGAGGGGCAGACGATGTAGTGCCGATTTGCGGTGAAAGTGAAGACTTGTATGCTAAACTATCGTTAGCACTTCCGGGTATTTACACGTCTGCGGAATGTGGCACACCGAATGGCCGGCAGGCAGGTGTGGTGCAGGTGCTGACGGTGTTTCAAACCATCAAAATGATGTTTGCCAAGCCCATGCCCAATCCCTCGTCCTCGCCGCTCTTCCTGCTTTTATTGAAAGCATTTCTATGAATACAGGATGAGGATGAAGCCCCCCCAGCAGGTAGGCAACACTTTCGCTGCGGGAAAGCGGGGAAAAGCAAACCAAACAAATTGTGCATAGACTTGGATATATACAGGTGGGGGGAAGATAATGGGAATAAAGGGAAAAGTTATACATTTTGAGAAATATTTGGTTGAAATTTTGAATATGAATTTAGGAATAGTTGTTTAAAATATAAACCGAATATTAAGAACAACAGAATGATTTTAAATTATTTGTAATTTCCCTTATTTTAAATTGTTTTAAAATAAATTTGTTAACTAATTTTTAATTAGAAGAATAACATGCAAAGATTACTGCTAAGATTCAAGATTATAAACTAAACAAAATAATAATTTAAATATTCATTTGTATTATGTTTTAGTTTGTCTTAAATAATATATCTAAATCTGTCCGAAAAAATATAAATATTTATGAAGAATATTTAAAATATACATATATGAATAGTATTTATAAAAAATATTAAAAATATATATGTATTCTTTAGGCTTTCTTAAATATTATTTCATTAAAGACCGCTGTAGTCATACTATTTGCAGCAGCTCAGATAATATACAAAATGTATGAAGCTCAGATACAAAATATAAAATGCAGAAATAGAACCTTACTGGTCTTTCATTAACGCCCTCATTGTGCGAAGCGTAATAAATGGCCTGAAAGGCTTTTGGTTTTTGGACCACCCTTGGCTCCTGCGGCTATAATGCCATCGGCTTGGAAGCGCAAATTGTGTGGCATTATGTCGGTACCAAAAAAGATAGTAGTAATTTAAAATGAAATTGTTTCTAAATAAAAAAGCAGGCGGGAAAATTACTGAATTAAAAACTCAAGTAGTGCCAGTAAATAAAGATTAAAATAGTAAATTGAAGATTAAAATGGATTTATCATCAAAATTATCTTAAAAAATGAATTTTATATCTTTTCAATAAATATTTATAGAAATAATCAAGATAAAGAACTTATTTGTCAACCAAAAATTACCCTAGAAACCCAATTTATAACCTAGTTAAATTTCTTATTCATTAAGACTTTACTTAATTTATAAAACAAGACTTTACTTAATTTATAAAACAAGACTTTACTTAATTTATAAAACAAGACTTTACTTAATTTATAAAACAAACAGAAAGGTATTTACTGTTTCCTAAGTATGTTTCGTGATAATAAATCAACTATATTCAACCCTAATTACATCCTCGACTTGCTAAAAAATAATAAACCCTAAATATACGCCTCTAAACGCTAGGAAACACTTGAAATAATCCCCTCATGCTTTCATCGACCCATAAATTAAGCCAACTGGTTAATTTTTGTAATTGCCCGTGCCAAAGTCAAGGCCCTTTCGGTGGACTCATCCGCTTCCATCCGCCTCCGCTCGCTGGGCGTATGATACATTACAATATATGACTATTTCCAGGGGCATTGAATTATTAACACTTGATCGACGACGACGGCGGTTGTTGGCGGCCGTTGAGGTTGCCTGGCGAAGCGTAAACTATGCATAACGACCCCGCCGGAGGTTAAACAGCTGGGGCTGCACCGAAGCGGAAACCACCACCACCACCCACTCGACGGGCAACCAATAAACCACCACCCACAGCACAGCACAGCTCCCATCATCCACCACCACCCGCAAGACAAATTCAATTGAGCCAGCACTGCAGGACCTTGTCGCATTATGATGACTCAGTGTGTGGGACGCAATCCAATTCATTTGGCGACCATTTGGATACCAGGATACCAGTCCCCCTTGGACGGACGTACATACCTGCGCATACTCGATTTCCTCATCGCTGGCATCGAGGCTCTTGTGAAACTTGAGGCGTCCCAGGCTGCCGGTGCCATTGACATACTGATGAGACGGCTGATAGTGCGGATTGCCTTGGGAAGAGTGGTGCTGCTGGTGCATCATCATCGGTTGATGCGACTGCTGCTGCTGGAGGCAGGCGGCGGCAATCAGAGAGCCCACGGAGGTGGCATTCGAGGCTGAGATGGATACAGCCGCTGCTGTGGTGGCCGCACTGCTCGCCGCCGTGGCTATGCTCTGGCAGCTGCTACTCATCGGCTTGCCGGCCATCTTCACCTCGTCGTTCGTATTGATTTCTTCACGCAGTCATAATTACAGGCGGCGGATCACTCCGCCAGATACAGAGATACCGACGACACCGACAGACACCGCGCCAGAGACACCAAAAGCCGATACCGACACCGAGAGTGAGATTTGAAAAAGCGGAACACCTCCTCCAGCGGCCAGGTTCAGACACAGAGTAGTGATGATGATGATGGGCAATTACAATTAGTCATTGCCATTCATAAAAAAGTTTACTCCGTTGTAACTCGGTTGCGTTTATCAGTTTTGTATTTGTTGAGGGAGAACTTTTCCATATTCGAGCGAGCCGAGGCAGCGTTTGTTTTTTTGTCGCGTGAGTCTGTTTCCGCTCGGGTTGTTCCACTTCCGCTGAAGCTTGCTGCCGTACTGAACCGTTTTGGAGCCGTCGTCTGGGTGTCCACAACGGAAGCGGGAGCTTGGAGAACTTAGAACGGAGAGTGGTAATAGCAGAGCGAAGCACGGAGAGCACAAAATGCACCCACACGCACTGACAGGGCCAGCAGGGAAAAGCGGTTTATATTTATGGCACATGTTGACTGCTGTATTGCTCAGAGTAAAGCAGCGCATGCGCTTTAAAAAAGCATCAATAGGTGTTAAAAGTTTATGGAAGAGTTAGAAATTATTATTTAAAATTATATTCTGAAATTTTTATTATTTTTCTAACTTTGGAAAGGTTAAACATTGGCCTTATTTAATTTATTTCAAAGGTTTTTAATTTTCCCTTTTTTCAACATTCTTCTGTTAAGCGTGACTGTTAATTCTCAATACCCTGTTAACATACTGTTAAGTGTATGTAAATTTATTCACTCATAGAAACTCGTGTTTTTTTTGGTTATTTTAGAAATGTATTTGTTTACAAATTGAACTTTGCTACTCCGCCAGCTCGCCACCAGGCACCAACTGCAATATAAACAAATTAATAACAGATAAATATAACATAAAAAGAAATATAAATATAACATTTAATGCAGATATTTGTCAGATAAATAATCTGTATTAAATATTATATTTATCTGTTATATTTATAACATAAACACTCACCATCGTTATGTTATTGCCATTCAGCAAAATCTGATCCAGTTTGGTAATGCGGCGTCCATCTGGTGTGTTCTCGTACTCTGTGACATCGTCCAGGAGCATGTTGACAAAGTCATCGAATCCCAGCAGCGTGCCCACCATCTCCTTGTCATTCTTCATGATAATATGGATGCGGGAGCCAATGCATTTGTCCACCAATTCTGTAAACAGATTCCAAGGAAGCCGGTTAAGGTTAATATCTCTTGTTAATTTCACTTTTCAATTTCACAATTCACTAACCCAGAGGCATCAGCGTGGAGATGTTAGCGGGTGGGGGAACAGCAGTCATCTTTCCTGAGATTTGTTTATATTTTAGTAACACAAATTGTTTAAAACAATTGGAACTTTGCGAAAACTCCAGCAGGAATGCGAGGTAAACAATGCGGATTAGCGCGGTGAAGCTGGTCACTCTGAACTATCGGCTGCCGATAGACTTGATAGAGATGACAATTTAGCCTGCCAAATATAGCTACTAAATAGCTAATAATTAATTTAGTTATTGGAAGAGGAGTTATTAATCACAATAGATCTTTACACCAGGGAAGCACGGGACAGACTGATGGCAGCGCAGAGATAGCACTCTTATTTATAGGCTGTGAGAGTGAGAGAGATGGTAGTCGTAGTGAGAAAGCCAGAGCGAGAGCGAGCGAGAGAAGAATACAATGAAGGCAGCTCTGCTATAGCGCTCATATTTGTAGGCTGTGAGAGTGAGAGAGATGGCAATCGGAGAGAGAGCGAGCGAGAGGGAGAGCGAACGAAAGAAGAAGACAAAGAAAGACCAGCGATAGCGCTCGTATTTATAGGCAGTGAGAGTGAGAGAGATGGCAATCGGAGATCGAGCGAGCGAGAGGGAGAGCGAGCGAGAGAAGAAGACAATGAAGCCCTGCGATAGCGCTTGTATTTATAGGCTGTGAGAGTGAGAGAGATGGTAATCGGAGAGAGAGCGAGCGGGAGTAGAGTGAGTTATGGTAATAAAATCAAGAGATACTGTGGCCCATTGAGGAACGTACAGAGAGTCGTAAAGAGAGTGAGAGAGACAGAGCTATGGCGGGTAATATAGAGAGACAGAAAGAGAGAGAAAATGGCCCCACTGCTTTGCAATATTAAGTTCTCGCCAGCGCACAAAATCGCTAGACTCGCAGCACTTTGACACCATACGATAGTTGACGATTTCCAGCGATTTGCGCAACGGTCACACTAACCGTCGGTCTTTCATAATTTTCAAGATCAGGAGTCATATATCTCAAATATTTGAGTAAACAGCCGTCTCTGCCATATGCTGGCCAACTGGGACGAGGGGCAGGGTTGTGCCGCTGCTCGAAGCTTACATAATGTCCGTGTCGCTGGTCCCCCAACTACGGAAATTGGTCAAAAGCAGGCAGCACTTCCTGCTGCTTCTGCGTCGATCACTGAACCAAGGTCAGTTAGCATTTTGAACACAGCCCCCCGGATATCATGTGATTCTCTTCGGTTCTTGGGTAGATCTGACCACGGCTCTGAGACCCTTCTACTTTGCCGTGCATCCCGACTTCTTTGCCCAGCATCCTGAGCAGCGGAACACCAATGAGAACTCCCTGAAACTTCTGAGCGAGCATTTGGAGGCCTTGTACGAGCGCCGCCTGCGCAATGAGGACACCCAGGTGCTCAAGTTCTATGTGCGTGCCAGTTCGGATGCAAACAAGCGCGACTCCTTCCGGCTTATACAGATACGCACGGACAGGCAGAGCACGCGGGATCCCAAAAGATTTATACAAGGATTACTTGAGTCCTGCAACCTGTCCACGGAGTATGTGAAGAACATCAAGGCACAACCAGAGCCGCCCAAGAGTTCGGGCTTGGAGTTCAGGCAGAGTCAGGATTATCACTACGATGCGGAGTTTGCGGAATTTGAATCTCAGCTGAGGAATGTTCGTAGAACAAAAATATCTATTTAAAAAACAAAGTTAATACTCTTTAAACCCCAAGGAGCGTGCCAGCAAGCGTCCCGTGCTGACCACCTGGCTGGAGGAGAATGCGGACAAGGCCAGGCAACGGGTCAAAGAAACCGCCGAGCTTCAGGCGGAGATTGACAAGCTGCAACGGGTGCTGGTGGAGAAGCTGCAGCTGCGCGATGCTCGCTACGAGTGCGGCTGGAACATTGATCACTATCGTGGCTGCCTAAAGACCCTGGAGCGTTTGGCCAACACGCATCTGGTGGAAATGTCCCCCCTCAAAGGACGCATTGTGGTTTTTGCACCCTTCACGGGCATCAGTCTGGAGGGTCACGTGATGCTCTTCACCGGCGATGTGCTCAGCACATGGATTGACTTTATCAAGAACATTCCGCATCATGATGCCTATTTGAAGGTAGTGCCTGTGTATGAACGAACCTTGTCGCAGGTCCTCTTGGAGATTCAGATTGGGCGGCGCAAGTTTATGCCCAAGCAGCAGGCCAGCGGCTATGCCAATCACCTGATGAAGGTCACCACCTCGCTCAACGATTATTTAGGCAAACAAAAGTACCCAAAGGAATGGCCAAAGACGCTTAAAGAGTTCACCATTGTGGTAGAATCGGAGGCGGGTCCCCTGATGGTGAGTCCCACGGGTCAGTTCATCACACCGGCCACCTGTCCGGGTTCCATACTCGTGGACTTTATAACCCAGCACATGGAACTAGCCAGAGAGCGGATGAAGAAGTACGCCCAGGACAAGCATGTCGAGCAGGAATTGATGGATGCTTGCATCAAGCAGCTGCAGCTGCAGTCTCTGACCAAAGATGATGCCGTCACCCCGGACAAGATGATAGCGGCGCTGCGAGATTTGTCCCAAATGCAGGTGCAGCAGCAGCTAAAGCAAGGCAAACTGCACATCACCCACTACTATTCGGTGTTGACCGATGGTGTGGTGTGTATACCCTGGGACTTTGCGCAGAGATAAATAGAATTCTTCTCAAGTGTGCCTTATTAGTCGAAAAATAAATTTAGTAATAATTTTATTGTTATCTCAAAGAATTGTGGTTTCCTCTTAAGGTAAAGGGGATTTCCCTTATTTTACTTTAATAGATAAGACGGATTTCTAAACATTTTTACTATTTACTCCACGATTTATTGGTTGACTTTTGCTGATAAAAAGTGATAACCTTTAATTGGATTTTATTACAGCGGAAAAGATATGGAAACCAATGAATCTTCACATATTTGCCCATGTGTCACACGTTTTGCAATAATTCTCAGAAATACAAAGCAAGAAAATGAGCTCAAACTATTTTTACAATGCACAGATATAACTTTAATATACAGGATACAACCACTTCTGAGTAGGATTAAACATAGCTGCAATCCTCCAGAGCCCAGGTGCACTCTCTCTGATACTTTTTGAACTCGGTAACGTTCCGGGAGTAGACTTGACGCTCAACTCCAACAGTTTGAGAGGGATCTCCGGCACACATAACGGACTTCTCTGTAGCTGCATCCAACAGGGAGATACCACCATTACCGTACACCACTCGCCACCAGGTAAACAACACCCGGCTGTAAATGTTCTTGACAGCACTGGCATTGGTTGGTTTAGGAATATGCTCATCATGGGAAAGGTAACGTTTCCAGTAATCACTGTAAAAGGCAAATTGCGGTCGGCTGTCGTTGGTGAGGAGACGTTGCACAGAAAACGGAGCCTTGACGCTTCTCCAGTCATTGTTGCACATAAGCAAGGTTCTCGGGCACTCGTGCATGTAGAGATTACCATTTGTCACATTTCGGATGCACACCTTCTGGGCTGTGTACAGCAGTTGCTCCTCCTTGGAGAGGCGAGCATAGACCTCTCCTCTCAGCGAGCCATCTACATCCCTTTCGAAACCGGGCTTCTCCAGTAAACTTCTGAGGTTACTCTGCAGGGCCTGTAGAGTCAGAAGATCTGCTTTTCCAGTGGCAGATGCCCTTTCATATAGTTCGAGATTAGCCTGGGTCAGCAGGTTCAAGTTGCTGCTGAAGTTTTCAAGCCGTTTCGCCACGCTCAAGGGGGTTTCCAGGACCAGAACAGCGTCGAACAGTGCTTGTAGTATGTCCTTTAGATAATTAGACGGAATCAAGTTCAAGTTTAGCAAAGGAAAAGTCGTGTTGGGATTGACTGAGTACAATTGAGCCTCAAAAAGCAGAGCACAGCGGCCAATGATGGTCTGGTTGAGTAACAGCCACCAACTGGAAGGAATATTACGTCCAGACAGCTGATAGTAAAGATTCAAGACCTTTGCTGTATCGTTTCGCTGAGTGTTTTTCCATAGAGCGCTGAGTATATTATCATGGAGCTCCCATTTCCTGGTTTGGTCCTTTAACGGCACATCGGATCGCCTGGATAGCTCGTCGTACAAATTTAGAATATCTGAGGGATTGTCCAAGTGCTTCAACTGCCACAGCTGCTCCCAAAGAGCAGAGTAAATGGCTTCCCTTAACTCGTGCGTCTGGGCTTCATCTGCCCAACTGAGGACGATGTAGCTCCTTGACCAGTTTCCATTTATCTCCGACTCGATGACAGAGACCAGATTGGTTGGCACCGTTGTGGCATTGTAGAGGGACAAGGATCCACCAGTGTAATGTTGAATATCAAAGGCTCCGCAGAGACCCAAAAGACCCAGGATGAGCACGAGGCTAGACGTTGAAGTTGCCATTCTGGATGCACTAACTGTTTGCCCGTGAAAAGATCCACCTTTTATATGTGATTTCTCAAGACTAACCCTTATTTGTAGTTGATATCATGTTGTTTCTCACTCTGCCATAAAAATTATTCATGGTTTAATTACCTTTTGCACATGTTGAAGATTCAAGACCATTTATAATCTTTAATAAAATGGGGCAGGGGTGCGTAGCCGGAAATGGCCAGAGATTAAAATTTTAGATATGGTTTATAAATATTTAAATTAAAAATAGTAACTCTTTGATTACTCAAGGCTTTATTCGATTATTAGTTCGATTATTATTAAGCAGCATCGCTGCAATCCTCTAGGCTCCAGGTGCACTCTCCACGATGGGCTGCCAACTCCGTTGCCCGACGGGTGTACACATGGTGTTCTTCGCCATCCCAGTGCGAGGGATCACCACCACACAGCACCGATTTCTCGGTGGCTGCATCTATCAAAGAGAAACCATCAATTCCATATTCGACACGCCACCAGTTGATGTTGACCCTGCTGTACACATTTTTGGTAATGGAATGATTGGCGCTGTAAGCCCCAACACTAGCTGGTTCCATCAGGATATAGCGATTCCTCCAAAAAGCGCTATAAAAGGCAAACTGCGGCCTGCTGTCATTGCTGTGTCCTCGTTGAATGAAGTAGGCTGCCTTCTTTTGATCTGCTGGATTACTGCAAATCAAATACGTTTGTGGACACTCGTAGATATAGGCACTTGGATCGGTGACATTCCGAATGCAGACTTTTCGGGCAGTGTACAGCAACTGCTCCTCTTTGGGCAGGCTGGCATAGATCTCTGCTCGCAGAGTGGCTTCCACTTCCTGCTCGAAACCAGGTTGTTCGAGTAAATGCCTTAGATTGGCCTGCAAAGCCTGCTGAACTGTTACATTGGTACTTTTCAGCTCTTCCCTGTCCAGCAGTTGAAGATTGGCCAGAGCCAGCTGGGTCAAACTGGCTGTAAAGTAGCTAAGCCTTTCCACCACACTCAGAGGAGTTTCCAGAGCCAGCACAGCATCGTAGAGAACCTCCAGGATGTCCCTTAGATAATCCAAGGTGCTGAAAGTCAGCCGCTGAACCAAGGAGTTGACCAGGGGAAAGGTGGCGTCTGGACTGCCCGTGTGGAAGGGAGCCTCTAACAGCTGGGCACTGCGATGGATGAAGGCTGTATAAACCAGATCCATCAGCTCCAAAGGAACATCCGTGTGCACTGACAGCTGCTCGTAAAAGTCCAGGATCTTCGAGGGATCATAGATTTGCTTGGTTTGCTGGAGCTCCTTCCACAAAGCAGTGTAAATTGCTTCCTTGAGCTGCACAGTTCTTGCCTGATTGGCAAACTGTAGGACGAGCTTGCCTCGCTCCCAATCCCCAGCAACTTCAGAGCGGATGACAGACTCTAGGTTGGACGAAACGGTATGTTCCACACCCGCCAAAGGTGCATCATTCCGCCAGACATCAATGTGGTAGAGCAACTCTTGCACGGGAAAGGATGCATTCAGAATCGACAGGATTTTACTCTCAGTATTTTGGATATTGTGATCCGCAGCGAAACTGTATTGGAGTCCCAGGAGGAGCAGCAGCCAGGTGAATGATAAGGTAGCCATTATGGAAATACTACTGGTTGGATGCCCTGAAAACACAGAAGCTTTTATAGGGTGAGTCGAAAGCCGGCACTTGTTTGTAGTTCAATCGGATATTTGAATGGGGATTTCGCTGTTGACCCTTCTGCCGATAAATGCATACAAAGTTTAATTGCATTTTGCACTTGCCAAGAAGCTGGAAAACAAGATGATCATAAAAGTTGGGGTGGTATATAGTACTTTTATTGCTTTATTTACTTGCATATTTGTATGTGACCTACTTTTGGCTATTTTCGTGGTCAAGAGCATTGTGTGTGGCTTATTGGGTCGGAAAACTCATTGAAGATCTTGTTAAAAGTTTATAAATTGAGTGTTTTCTTTATACTTTCTTTATATTTATTCATTTAAACACTTTTATATTAGGTTATAAAAACTAAAGTTTGCCGAAGTTATAGCTTCCTTTTTCTTTATATTATTCAATATGTTTAAAAACTAAAAAATATTTTTGTACTCAAAATATTTTACTGAACATGTTAAAAAATTAGGGGGATTTTTACATAAATGATACAAATATTTTACATTTGTTTCTTATAATACCCGTGCTTTTACCAGAGCGCTAGTGTATTATGACACTTAAAAAAATGCCTTTTAACCATGTTTACCCTTAACAATTTTTTTAAACATTTTTCTGGCTTGTTAAATTCATTAATAATTTTTAAAGATTTTTTTTTAGGTTTTTCAAATCCCTTAACAATTTTTTAAAACATTTCTATGGTTTGTGAAATCCCTTAATAATTTTATAAAACACTTTCCTTTATTTGCATTCGTTTACTTTTTTTTTTTTTTTTATTCAATTGTTTTTAAGAGACGCATAGAATTTCTTACTTCTAGTATCACAAAAGTCTTTAGAGACGCTTAGAGGCTATTTGATGCTAAAAATGCAAGGCAGAGCTACAGTTTAATTTTGGCTGCTAGAAGAATTAGCTACCTAGTGATTGCCGGCTGAGTGCCGATCCTCTAAAGCTTCGTGGAGGTGCGTGACTTGATCGAGCGGCGCAGAATACTAGATCTTAGTTCGCCACCCGTGGAGGCATTTAGGGAGGCTCCTGTCTGGGTGCCCCTCACAAAGGCCTGCGAGCGAACCTCCTCCACATCGGTGTTCCTCTTGGCCTCGTTGTCCTCGTCATCGTCGTCCACCTGCTTGGCCAAGCAGGGGAAGTCCCAAATGCTCTGACCCCGTCCAAACTCCTCTCCATCAGTCAAGGTTTGGGGCAGAACGTGATTTAGGGTCTCGGGAAGCAGCAGCGATAGCAGTCCACCAATGATACCCAGAATTCCCAGGATAATCAAGGGCAAAGCATTGGAAATATTGGCCAGATAGACCACAAATGGAGCAATGATGCTGGCCACATAGCCCATGATGTGGATAAAGGCCACTGCCTGGGCTCTGACCACCGTTGGGAGCACCTCAGCCGCCCACTGCAAACCGATATTATAACTAATGTTCACAAAGAACCGACCCATAATGGCCAAGGCTGCGGAATAGATGCCCACGGGAGCCACAGTGGCCAACAGACTGAACACTCCGCTGAGTACCATGGAGCTGCAGGCCAGCCAACGACGTCCAAAGCGATCAAGGATCACCGTCAATAGAGTATCCGCCGGCAGTTCCGTAAAGCAGGCCAAAGTGAAGGTGAAAAAGATATCCAGTCCCAGGGTACCCACGTTCCTTACATGACCATCAAAGACCAGCGATATGGCCATCCAGATGATGATCAGGAGCAAAGTAGTGCGACGCAAACGCGGTGACTTGAAGAGATCCAGCACCGAGTAGTTCCCATTCTGGGCCTCCTGCTCCCGCATCCTCTTGCAGCTGTCCGCAAAGTTCTGATACGTTTGGGCGGGCACCTGGCGGCCATTCCTTTTCTCCAGTTTCTTGAGAATACCAATAGCCTTGTCCACTTTGCCTTGGGAGACGAGCCAACGAGCTGATTCTGGCACAATCATAGGTGTAAATATGGCCAAGAAGAGTGGAGCTGAGGTCACAATGGCCAAAATTTTCCAGTCGGCCACAAAGTAAGCAATCCAGGGTAGCAGGCAGGCGGCTCCGGTAAAGAAGATGGCTATCGACATGTTGGCCACAAAGGTGCGGTACTTGGGACCCACATACTCCAGAACTGTAAAAGGCGAAATGAGATAAAAAGGAACGAATTTAAATTAAGTTAATCGATTCTAGTTAGTTAGAGCTTAATTAATTATTTAAATAGTTAGAGAAAGGCTTATTTTTTGTGTTCTAAAAAGACAATCTAAGGAACAAAAAGAACAAGGAACAAATTGATCATGGTTTTAGGCATGTTTTCTCTTCAAATTTTTGAGTTATTTAAAAATTATAAAGATGTCTTTCTAAAAGAAAAAATCTTGATTGTCCCCTAAATACTCACCCAAAATATACATCATGGTGAAGCAATTATCAAAGGCAAATCCCACAAAGAAACGCATGGCGGCAAACTCCCAGAAGTTGGTCACAAAGGCTGTGCCCACGCCGGCCACCAGACCCATCATATTGGTGCCAATCAAGGCAGGAATCCGTCCAAAGCGATCCGCTACCCAGCCAAAGAGGAGTCCTCCGGCAATGGCACCCAGAAAGAATATAGACTGGGCATATGTGGGCAGGGCGGCATCGTCGCAAACCCAATTCTGCTCCGTGGCCACCGTTGAGTAGGGAATCTCCGTGAAGTTGTAGGACCAGCCATGGCGGCACTTGACCCGCGGCCACTTCGGGTCGGCCATCACCTTGCCCTGGGCCAAAACCTCGGTGTAGTTGACGTCGTACATGTAACAATTGTTGTACTCCCCATTGGTCATGGGTATGGAAAGGGCCAGTCTGCAGAGGGGGAAAATAAAAAGAGAGGAGGTTTTTTTTATTCGTTGCAATTAAAATCATCCAGGGTCAGGGTGTGTGTGTGTGGAATTGTCTCCTCGCCCGGTTCTCAGAGAGACGACTCTCTAAGCCATGGCCAAGCTAAGCTACACTTGTACCCACAATGTAGCATGAATATGTATGGAAGCGACAACTTAATTATTGTGATCTTGGGGGGCACTCGCACTCGAAAATGCGGTTGCGACTTGAGCGTTTTCGGATACACTCTAACCGTTCGTGTCTGCCCAAATGGGTTGGTTTAAAGTGGTTTAAAGTGTCTAAATTTGGTACATAAAACAAGATTAATCGCTTGTCGACCAATTATGTTGGATGTGGGCAAGCGGAAAGTGTTAAAATTTTAAATTATTAAGCAATTATTTTCATAAATTTATGAGTAACTACTTAATAATTAGTTAGAATGGCTAGTTAACTCATTTATCTAGTATTATTCTCCAAGAACTTAGGGCATATAATTTAAACTTTTATCTTTAACCAATTTAAAGTTAAATTATAGCCTTCCCTTCTCTATGGAAAATGTTTGTAATGGTTATGCCTTTGAATCCATAAATAATATAACTTGTTTTTAGATAACTCATATATGTAGGTTCAATTAGCATATTATTACCAGGGCAGGCTTTGACATTTATCCGTTTTTATTTGCATAATCCATGGAGTGATTTCATTAAGTCTTTAATTAGATTAGCTTGGATATTTGTATATTAAACAAGAATGCTGTCTTTTATAGATGAAATTATTGATTTAAATTTATTTATTTAAATTTTAATGTATTTATTTAAATTTAAATATATTCTTTTTTTACTGGTAAAGGTTTTTTTTGTAATTAATTAAATTTAAAAAAAATCTTTAGTTTTGTGTTCTATTTTAAAGAAATTTTCGGACTATTTTTTAAAAGTTTAATATTTTTTACTTTTTTATACTTCAAGAGAATTTTTTTTTGGAACAAAGGTTCTGTTTTTTACATTAATTTTGTGTTTTAAATTATTAAGTATTTACTTTTTCAATAACTAAAATATAAAAAATATAAGGGTTTTCTGGTTTTCTCTCAAAAAAAAACTACCAAAAGAGTGTCCAAACTTCATTAATCCCCCACTGGAGTCCACCGGCAAGTAGGCGGTCGGCGGTCTCACATCATCGCCGCCACACAACATTAGTCTCGACGATGGCTGGTTGTTGCCTGCTACCTGAGCTACCTGTGCTGGCTACTGCTGCTGCGTTGTCGCAATGTTCACGCTGCGCTGCTGCTAATTAAATATTATTTGGCCGGCTAAGTTGGCTTATCTAACTGGCAGTGCCCCGCCACCCACTGGACGCCTTTGGGAGGGGAAAACGCTCTCCTTGCCACTGAAAACTCTGATAATTGCACAGATGATCGTGGCAGTAAGGTTCTTTGCCTTATTAAGCTGGACGGACGACTGGCTGGAAAAACCAATCATGGCCCAAGGTCGGGCCAAATGGCCGTTCTAAGCCAAGTTGGACGCCTTAATGACTTTGGTCAGAACACTCAGACTTGGACTCTGATTCGTTTCGTTACGTTTCATTCGTTTTTCAGTTTTTCGTTTAAAAGTTGGTTCGTTTTTAGACTTTAATCGAGTTGCAAACACTTTGCACATATAATTTGACTATTAGAATCGAGAATTTGGGCGGGAGTTAAAGCTAAAGCGGACCAAATCTTTTCGCATGGCCAATTCTTATTAGTTTGGCATTATCCAGTTTCGGTTGGGTTGCAGGTCTAACCGGTATTAGCCTTAGCCTTTCGATTCCAAGGTGAGATCGTCGGCATACAAGTAGTTCGTGTGTTTTTAATAGTAATCGATCAATTGCTTTTATTTTGTGAAAGTTCAAAACGGAACCGCATATCTCAGACGGTTGCCATTTACGCACAAAGATAATGCTTCCGGATGGAGATTGTTTCTATGGGAAGGCAAAATAATTGCCAGCACACATAAATATTATTAAACAATTATTATTGGGTTTAGTTCTTTGTTTGTTATTATTTTTGTTGTAGTTTATTTTTATTAATTGATCTGTTTGAGAGCCTTGAACTTTGTTTTGCTTGTTTGATTCTTTGTTTGACCTGACCTTTTGGGATATTAATCTTGGGTATTTATTTAATTTTCTATAGAGTAAAATATAAGATTTGCCATTAAAAAAAAAGGAAAAGTAATTTAAATGGCTTTTATAATTTTATTAATTTAAAATATAATTTTAGTTCAAGTTCAAGAATTTTTAAGAGAGATTTTTTAAAGAATATTTTTAGCTTTACTGTCATGAAGTTTATTTTCCCGAAAAAGGAACTCAACCTATACTTTTGTCAAGAAGTTTCTTAAAGTAAAACTGTAAATCTTTATTAACTTAAGTTTGTATTGTTGTTTAAAGAAAATGTATAATTTGTATTATAAATCTTAGCTTAGACCTCTTAGGAATGTCACTTCTTCTCCTGATAAAGTTCAAATTCTGAATATTTAAATTCCTTTTAAGTCTAATCCAAGTCATAAAACTAAGAAATTCCCTAACAATTATAGGCAATTATTTATACGACAATTTGTATACAATTTGTACAGAAAACTGACTTGATTCATTCATTCATTACCATACAACACCCACAGCTACTGCAAACGAACACCCATAACATTCTGAAACGCAGTGTCTGGTTAATAGATTCATGATCGTTCCGATAGACACAAAGTCTTCATTATACTTTTAGCACTTGAGGCGACGTCTACGACTACTGCACTTCGCACATAAAAAACACTAGACACACACAGAGTGTGTGCTGGCCTGGCCACTAATCAACGATTATACACAACTATTATACACATTTGAATATTTATGGCACATTACGTGAATTACCGAAGCAAGCGGATGCCATAACCCAAGCCATTGCAGCCATGGAGAGCCTTGGTTTTCGAAGAAAAACCCAAAAGATTCATGAGGGGAAAATCCTTGAGTTCTTCAAGAGAAAACCCTTGAGAATTTCCACCCACTCACTCACCTGGCCATCACATCCAAACCATCCAACTCCGGGACATGACACCAATGCTGCTCGGGTATCAGGGTAAGAAAAATCTGAGAGAAATACACAAAGGCCACGAAGAAGGAGAACGGAATCATGCAGATGAAGAGTATCTTTTGATAGCGACCAAACTCCCCAATTAAGGGGAGTATGTCATCAAAGTCTAGACTGGGTGGATCTCCAGCCCCACCATTCAACTCCTGACCCTTTTTGAAGCCACTGATATCCAGCTGGAGTTCCTTATTCCCGCCACTCTTTCGGCGATGCAGGGCATCTCCGCCAGCTCCGGTTCCACCTAGTGGCGGCGACTCTTCGTTGTGGTTGTATGCCTCATTGACGAAGTACGCTTGCTTGGCCTGGCCTTCCATTTTGACTACTGACTGGTAGTAGAGTACTCCGCGACCTTGCCTTATGTGTGTCACCTTAAGTGATTCAGAACTTGACCGAAACGAAACTGAACGAAACGAAACGAGACGGAATGGCGTAGAAATAACCAATTTCAAATCGCAAAACTCAAATACTTTAATCGAATTCGATTGCGGCGCACGCGCGCGTTTCCGTTTCGAATCTGCAACTGACTGAGCACGCGCGCCAAAAGCCGTTTTTATATGAGCCGGGCCAAGAAGCTCTGGGTTTGCTCGGGTTGAACGTTTAAGCCGCTGCACTTGCTGTTGATTTTAGCGGCACAGAGAACAAAAAGTTTGGGTATTCAAATGGGACAGAAAAGGGGTTATTTTAAGGGGTTAAGGGGGGGGTAAGGTATTTAATTTTTTTTTTCGTAAATTTTTTTTTATTTTTTATTTTAAAAGTTCAATATCTTAAGAATATTGTGTCCAAGTTTTACATCAATCATAGTAAAATTGACGAAGTTATGCGGAGCTGAACGAAGGTCGGTTGGTGTTCAATGCATGAGAATCACAAAGTTTAAAGCACTCTCCTGAAAAATGCCATTTTGAAAATCGGTGTACACGATAACTAAAAATATACTGAACCAATCGGTTTGAAATTTGGAACATAACTTCTTTAGATAATTCTACAGGTATTCTCGTCGAGCTTTTTTTAATTTTTAATTTTCTTATATTTTTTATTTAACAAATTAACTTAATTTTTTAGTCAAAAATCGGGGTTTTGACTTCAAATTTTGATAAAAAATAGGGAAAAAATTTTAAAAATAAAAACGCTTCGAGAATACCTCGGGACACTTATCCTTTAACGAATGAGGTATAATTTTTGTAGATCGGATGATTCTGTGGACAGTTAGGATGTACACCGCAAACCAACTTTTTTTGGAGGCGACTCGGGAGATTCCCTATAACTCCTCTACCTCTAAATATTTTTCAATACAAAATTTATCACAAACTGTTCAAATGTTGTGTTATTATATGGTATTTAATTCGTTAAGCTAGCTTTAGCCGTTTCGCCACAACATTTTTTTGAAAAGTGGGCATTTTTGCACCGAATTAACCTTACCCCCCCCTTAAAATCAGAGAACACCACTCTTCGAACTGAAATTAAGGTTTAATTTTAATATTTTTTAGCTACCTTGTTCTATTTGTTAAGGTAACTTAATATTGTCTTTAAAATACTGTCTTGCTTCAAGACTAAATAAATAATTTAAGGAATTCCCGAGGTTGGCTTAACAACTCCTTGACAAAGGATCTAAAAGAGGTTTATATACAAATAAAATCACCCTCCTATCTATTTATATTTAATTTTACTAGATTTTTTTTTTTTATTAAATTATCTTAATATATAAATATTTATTTATTTTTATAATCCAAAATAATTAAATGTTTAGTTAGCAAAGCAAATTCCTACTCCTTTGTGTGTTTTTTATTATGAAAAATCTTCCGAAACTCTTAGCTCCCAATGTTTTTTAAGTAACCCCAAATTTTCTTCAGTGTTTTAGCTGCTGCCAAGAACAAACAACCGGCAGCGGGCAGCGAAAGTTTAACAGCTGTTCGGAGCTTGGTTCACACAGCTGGTAAACCGGTTAGGATCTCGGAATCGGCTGGCATCGGGACACTGAGGCGAGCCCCAAGCGATCATATCGGTGCCTGATCTTATGGCGGCACGTTAAGAGCTCTTGGTTACTTATTTTTAAGCCTGTCCCCGGCATCCAAATCCATGACTCCCTCACAGATGTGCTGCTGCATCTCTGCACCTTTTATGACATTTTTGTTTGGACCCACCTGGGTCCAGATTTTTATTAATAACCCCGCTTCAAGGCGGTAGAATGCCCGTGGTGATTCATGCTTCAACCACTCCGAGAGATTGAGGAAATTAGTAAAAAAATGTATTTGTTATATTTATTTATACATAAACGTCACGGCCCATTCATAAATTGAGCAGAGCGCGAACGAGCGAGGGGATTAAACTCGGTGGCAGATCGAGTAATAATCCAACAAAACGAGTTTGCGTGATTTAATAATCGTGAGGCAGGCCTTCAAAGACATGGGATTAACTTACTTGAGCCTAACAGTTCATTTTTTGTGTGGCAATTAAATTATGTGTTGTTTAAGAGCTTCACTTGTTTAATTATTTAATTTCAATTGCGTACTTTTGAGATGATTGAGTTTGAGATTTTTCAGTTTCTTGTTTGTTTTTGAAATTAACATTCATTTAAAGAACTTATTTATAGTTGATTTTGCTTATTAGCAGCCTTAACTTAACTAATTATGAGTGAAAGGTATGAAAAATGAAATTATGAAGTACCCTTCCAGAGTTTCTTAAATTTATTTCACCATATTTTTTAATAGAACAGTATTTTTCCAAGACAAAATATTTATTTTTGACCTCATAAGTTCATTTTCTTTGTTTTAACTATTTTTTAACAGCTATATATTAATGAAAAGTAACAAACAATATTTTTAGTACAAAGAGTACTGCCTTATTTTTAATTCTTTAAACGAATTTCACAACGTTTCGAAAGAAGGACAATTAGCAATGGAAAATTACTTTTCCAAAATAAATATTTTTCGCTGTTTTTAAATCTTGTTTGTCACCTTAATTAGCATATTTATAATAATTGCCAAAATAAGCGATGTTTTCCTATTTCAAAAGTCAAGAAAAATCCTTAAGAAAGCAAGTTGTTAGCAACTAAAAATAAAATCTTACAAATTTAACATTGAAATAACCTTGTGATTGATCTTAATTTAACTTCCAGAAGATACAAAATCCATCTCTCCTTATTTAACTTATCTTATTTATTAAACTCGATCGTCTTAATCGGTCTACTTGTTTTTGCTTCCCGAGTTCCATAAAGAAATTCCTTTTTGGGCAACTTAAACTCGACAGATTTACAATTCCCAACTTAATTTAATATTTTCTCTTAAGCTTATCTGGTTTTTATTTATTTATATGCAAGTGCAATTAGAAGGACATACAGGACTTAACTGTTAATGGGCTTTGAAATTAATATTTTGATGTGTTTATGTTCGGTGTTATCTTATTTATTTACACAAATTTGTTCGTGTGTTCAATTTAAGATACGCATGTTTCGTGTGTGGCACATGTATTGCATTTATATTAATTATGAAGTCGCACCCAAGTCAAATAATTTCGATTCTCATTACAAAACAACACAAAAATATTGTTCTCTTGACCGCTGCCGCTTCGAACCAGTTTTATCTTGCTAAAAAATAAATTAAAATTTTATTATACTCTTGCCAAAGTGTATGTAACATAAATACGATTAGAGGAGCATTGAGATTAAGGTATTTATAATCTCCAGGGGGATGTGTAACTGGTAACTGTATGGGTAATTACCTTAATTATAAATCATAATGAAAATTTGCATAATCAAAGAGCATAAAATATATATTTAAGCAATTAATTATATATTGTTTTGGGGAGGAAAATCAATCTTTAAGTTTTTTTTAAGGAAAATATTTCATTTCTTGTATTTTATGTAATTATATTATAGGGTATTCAAGTTTTTCTAATCTCTAAAAACCCACTCAACACCTAGTTAGTTGTTTTTCGTTACATTTTTTTATAGTTTGCTACGCATTTAATGTTTTAATTAGCTCTGCTTTTTAACCTGCTTCAAGGACTTTTGCCAACTTTACTAAATGTGTCTATCAACCGTTTGTTGGGGAGTTAATAGAACGGCTATTGAAGCAGATTTATAACGAGATAGTGTCATACCTGGGCACACAGGTGTCATTTGAATTGTATAATTTTTAGAAAGCCGTGCTAATTAATTGGGCAACTCTGTCCTTCTATGGGGTCTCTGTGTCTCTCTCTCTCTCTTTCCCTGGGAGAGAAGACTTTTGGTTGGGTCTTGCCTTAACTTTAAGACGACCTTCAATCAAAGCAAACAAAAATTGTTGCATTAAATCCATTTCCGTTTTGATTCATGCTTCTCGAGCTTAGTTTTGTTTGTTTTGTTTTGGTTACTTATTTTATTGTATTAAGCTTTTAATGAGTTTTGTTTGTTGTTTTTGAAAAATACCGAATACCTTTTAATTGGATTGAGGGAAGTGCATCGGCTTCGACATCGTCTGGCTTATATGACATCATAATGAGTCGACAGGAAGCCCGCACGTACACCTGATCCACTCATGGCTTGGGCCCGTGAGAATTATAGCTGCGACTTCTATAAATTATGCAATTAAATCACAAAACAGTGTTTTGATAATCGGTCTGGTTAGGTTTACTATCTCTGCAAATACAACAAGTTAAAGAGATAAGCTTTAAAGGTGACAATATCCCAAGAATGGTTAGTAAAACCTTTGTAAAAAGAGTTTATAAAGTAAGAAATATTTTTTTATATTTTTAAATTAGTGCTGCCTTACCCCTTACCCCTCTTAAACCCCTCTAAAATCAAAATCCTCACTAATTCCACCCACATTTAATATTGATCTTCCCCGCCGTGGGCTCGTCATCGTTGCCTTCGATAAGCTATCACTATTTCTAACTGATAAATCTGGCTATGATAGCCTCTATATGCCGTAACAAAAAACCGCAAAAGTACTACTTCAATCTTATCGCCAGATCGGTAGCATCGCCAATATCAGTCAGTGTATTATTGGCCAATTGAACGATTATAAATCACTTCGGTTTATGCCCGCCTGGGCAATCCACTGCAGATAGTCGATGAATTATGATCCCCTCGCCTTTCGGTTTCCCTATAAAAGTGCTCCCATTCTTGGCCAGAAACTTAGTTGTGTTAATCGAAGAAAAATGAGGTTCGCTTGTGCTACGGTCTTGCTGCTGGCCGCCATCCTTGGCGCCCAGGCCGTCGACTGGTCGTCGGTGAAGAACAGGAATATCGAAGTGCCAGTGCCCAATATTCATCCCAGAATGAGTGGCAGGATTACCGGCGGAGAGATTGCCAAGCCCCAGCAGTTCCCCTACCAGGTGGGACTACTGCTCTACATCACCGGAGGCGCTGCCTGGTGCGGTGGCACCATCGTCAGCGATCGTTGGATCATCACTGCTGCCCATTGCACGGATAGTTTGACCACCGGCGTGGATGTCTACCTGGGCGCCTGGGATCGTACCGATGTCAAGGAGGATGGCCAGCAGGTCGTCTTTGTGGATGCCAAGTATGTGATTGTGCACGAGAACTGGCAGGCCGATACCATCACCAACGATATTTCCCTCATCAAGCTGCCGGTGCCCATTGAATTCAATGGTAAGTTGAGTGACGATTTTAGGGAAATTCTTTTTTAAATATTGTTCTAGATTATTTTGTTTTCTAAATCAAATTCTATATATTTTTTATAGATTACATTCAGCCCGCCAAGCTGCCTGTGAAGTCTGACAGCTACAACACTTATGGAGGGGAGACCGGCATCGCCTCTGGCTGGGGCAAGATCAGTGACTGTAAGTGAACCTTGTATCTAGTTAGGGTTATGCTTTTTATGGGGTAGAAATGGAGAAAGTGGAAAGATCGTGGGGTTAAAGAGGTAGAAAAAGTGTAGCTTAAATTGTCATGAAATGGAGAACTTGTTACTAGAGTTTTAGGCTTAAAAGATAGAAGTGATATAATATTTTTCAGTTACAAAATAACTTAAGAATTTACTGTAGAAAATAAGCTTATAATGCTTTTTTTGTTAGTCACCAAATAGCTTTAAAATTGCCTAGGGGAAGAGTATCAAAAATAGCTTAAAATGTGCTCTTTTTATAGAAAAATTAATCTACTTATTTGTGAACGAAATTACGATGGTAAAACCCCAAATCCCATCTAATCTAGATTGAGTTTTCACCTTTGGCCAAGATTAAGCTATCTTTTCCACAACGTTTCAAAGAAATCGCAGTTCTAAGTTATAATCTTAAAATGTGATCTATTACAAATCTAATCTTGGAATTTTAAGAAATAGATTTCATCAGGTGTTATTGTTTGTTTAATTCAATAAGCCTGTAGTGTAAAGTTTCCAAATAAAAAAAAATTATTTAAAATATTTTTAAAAAGGAATTTTAAAGTAAAAACTTCCATAAACCATCTCATTTTTAGAACAAGATTCCTAAAACCTTTTTTTTATAGCTGCCACTGGTGCCACCGACAAGTTGCAGTACGCCGTGGTGCCCATCATGAACAACAGCGGCTGTGCTCCCTGGTACGTGGGCCTGGTTGGTTCCACCAACATCTGCATCAAGACCACCGGCGGCATCTCCACCTGCAATGGCGACTCTGGCGGTCCCCTGGTCGTGGACGATGGCACTAACACCCTGATCGGAGCCACTTCCTTTGGCATTGCCTTCGGTTGCGAGGTGGGATGGCCCGGTGTGTTCACCCGCATCACCTCCTACCTGGACTGGATCGAGGACAAGACCGGTCTGGTCAACTATGGCAACTAAACGTAGACGTTTTCATTTTGGGAACTTACAAATATAAACGTTTATTTTTTGGGATTACAAGAAATAGAACTCCTGTTCGGACTTGGGGCGGGAACGGGGTCGATGTCGGACATCGTCGGAGAAGTCCTCATCGGAATCGGGATCGTGACGTACGTCCAGTTCATCCGGGACATCGTCCTGCTCCTCTGGCCTCTCCGTTGGCATTTTCATTCGCTTACTTTGTGGCGGCTTGCCATAGGATCTTACGTACTGATCGAAGAAGATGGCCTCCGTGGTGTCCTGATGATGGGAACTCACGCCAGTCTCATCGCTGATCCAGTCCAGATACGAGGCCACCTTGGTGAAGGCCGCCGGATAGCCACGATCGCAGCCATAAATGCTGCCAAAGGAGGTTATACCCACAAGGACTCGCTTCTTGGAGTATTTACGCTGGAGCACCAAGGGACCACCGGAATCCCCATTGCAGGTGGATCGGGCATTCCTGCCACTGGTGCAGATATTCGTTCCACGATAGGACAATGGAAAATTGGTCTTGCAAGTCCTGCCATCGATAATCTGGAGTTGGACATAGCGCAAAACATTGCTAATGGCATGCACCCCGGTGGCATAGCGTCCCCAGCCGGAGGCAATGGCCAGCTTGTTCTTGAAGCTACGGTACTCGTAGTGACGCTTTGGTAACTGGATGGGGTGGATGCGTTCTAGAAGGGAATCAAAGGTTCTCAAAGTAAATTTTAGGGAGATTTTTACAGGGTTTCCACTCACCATTAAAGCTTACAGGATGCGGCAGTCTTACCAAAGCAATGTCATCCTTTAGCCTCTTGGGATTCCAAGTGGGATAAATGTGAAAGTTGCTGCTGGGCACCATCAATCTCACCTGGCCCTTCTCCTTGGCATTCTTAATCTCGTTGGCGCCGAGGAACACCAGAGCCCGCTTAGCCCTGCAAAAGGATAAAAACATTAGAGGAGTGGTTCTCTTGACCAGCTTTTACCTACATGTCCACGCAGTGGGCGGCGGTGACGACATACTTGTCGGAGATCAGGGAACCACCACACCAGTACAGACCCTTGGGCCTCTGCAGCAGCATGCCCACCTGGTAGGGAAAACAGTGCGGATTTCCCACATCGCCGCCAAAAATGCGATCCATGGCCATGGCGCCCTCGGGCAGCATTTTCTCCAGCAGTGGTGTCGTCTCCAGATTGAGGACCAGCGGTTCTGGTTCCTTTACATCCTCCGCACTGAAGGCAGGCAATGCTTTCATGCTTTTCATGTGACGCATCTCCAAGCTGCTGGCACTCATTTCCGCATCATGCTCCACAGAACCGGAGTAGGGCGAGGAGGAGGAGGAGCTGGAGCTGGAGCTAGAGCTGGACAAGCTAAAGGGGCTGGGGTTCATGGAGACCAGGTACATGGGCTTAACCTGCTGCCAGTCCAGCGCTGAGCATTGCAGCGCCAGCCATGACCAGGCGAGGAGTAATGGCGTCCAAGCAACTACTCTTGGACTTGGGGCCGCTCTTGCTGTTTGTTTGGACATTGGCTTTGCTTTGCCCCTGCGTACGCATTTAATTGTTAAATGGCGATTCGAAATTGTCGGCACTTTTGCACTTATGTTGATTCAACGGTGGCTTTCACTGCTAACTTTGCTTCCTGGGCATGGCTTCCGGTTCCTGCTTTCTTCAGTCCTGCTTGCGGTTCTTCACTACTACTGCTTCTAAGCTTGACTTAAGTCCTACAACTGCTTGGTTTTCTGGGTTTTGATTGTGTTTTTTTGTCTTATTAATTTATTTTTCTGAATCTTAATTCTTCTTTACTTTAGGTTCAAGTTGCTTTCGGGGTTATTTTAATTATGAGAACCTCATCTATTTATTTATTTAACAGTTTCACAAATTTAATTATGCTTTTGTAACCATTCGGTTGGTTTATGAACAGGATATTGATATGAATAGGGGTCTTAAGAACTTATTTCTTTTTAAATACAAATTAAATTATCTTTTTACTGGCTTAATATTGCACTTTTAAGTCCTAGCACTGCTTTCTTTAAGGTTTTTATATCATTATTTATGTGTTAAATTGCACTGCTTTTTCTGGGCGTGTCGAATCTTTTTTTAAAACAGCTTTCTTTAAAAAATTCTTAAGACTTTAGGTATTTTTGGGATAAATTTACTGTTTAATTTTATCTAAATTATTTCTTTTGTATAACAAATTTCAAATATTTTCAAGTTTAATATAAGGCTTTCTTTGATATCTTAAGAAAATTAAAATTAATTTACTGGTTATTGCACTCTTCCCTATTCTAGACTTGCTTTTTAATGTCGTGTTTCTGCTTTTTGATGTATCATTCCTGCTTTTTGCTGTGCTATTTCAGCTTTTTGCTATATTATTTCTGCTTTTTGGTGTTTAATTCCAGCTTTTTCGTCAAAACTTCAACTGCTTTCCTAGAAGATTTCTCCTTTGGACCGTTAGATTCTGTCACTGCTTAAGCCGCTCGCTTCACTGCTTCCTTAACTGATTGGCCAGGCGGCCTTGCCTCGTTCACTTCCTTGACTTCCTTTCGCTTCCTCTTTTAACACATTTCCATCGCTACACCGCCGCCACCTCGCTGCGCCTCTTTCACCCACTAGTCCACTGGTCACTTTTTGTCTTCCCGTTCCCAAAAGCTAAAAGCTGGTGGCTTGGCTTGGCTTGGCTAGCTGGCTGGTTACGCTGGTTCGCTGGACACTTAACGCGATGATCGTAACGCGCGTTCGTAATATCTGCGCACTGCTCCGTATTGCTTTCTTCGCGTCGCGTTCAAGACTGCGCCGGCGCGCAGGTTACCAGCATTTTTATAAACTCTTTCGCCAGCAGGCCATTTTTCTGCGCGCTTGCCACCTTAATTATTGCATCTATTTTAGCTGCATTCACAATTGCAGTTGCATCAATTTCATTTAATTTGAATATCGTTCGGCCCCCCCATCAAGGCTCCTCTCTCCTTTCCCGTCATTATTTTGGGTCTTTTCCTCCTTTGATGGAATGTCACTTCAGTGAGATATTGCCCTTTGGTTGGCTTTGGTCTGGTTTGGATTTTCGCTCAAAAATGTGTGCCGCATAGGTTACATTTTCAGCTGCTGGATTTTCTGATTCGGATTTGGATTCGGATCTCTCTCTCGGATTGTCTGTTTGTGGTTTTTGCCATTTAAATTGAATGCGAAGCTGTAACTCTAGTTATCTGCCCGCTTTGGCGCCATTACATCACGCGCTCACTTCTCGCTTTATCTTCATTATGCATTCGCGTACATAGAGGTGTGTGTGTGGGCCTGTATTTGAGCCAGTCTTTCATTGAGAAAAGAGCCCCCATAGTGGTAAGTGAAACAACAACTTTACTAGTTACAGTTAGATTTGCATGCCGCCTCTTCTTCACTTACAACTGTCCATCATATTTGATTGTGGTACAGTAAGGCTTCTGTTAGGAGAACGGCTTACTGGAGATGAGTTATCGCTAGTTGAAGGAACTATAAATTAAATAGAGGCTCAGATGTTTCAGAATATTGGGAATATTTTTACAGAATTTAAAATTAGACAGAGTTTAAGCTGTTTTAGAATATATTTTGTGGAAGAAAGTATGGTAAATAGTACATTCTTTAGTACTAAAAAATATAGAGAATATTTTTAGAGAATTTAAAGCTTTTCAGAGTTGAAAGTGTTTCGGAGAATATTTTGTACTGTACTTTCCTTAGGACTTAACAAGATTTTCTAGAGAAATAATTTTAAAATTCCAGAAAACAGTATTAAAAACTGTCGTACAAAATATTGAAGGCTAAAAAAAACAAGCAAAATTTCCACAAAATTTAATAAACACTTTTTAGGGATACAAATATTGAAGAGTAGAAAAAACAAGCAAAATTTCCACAGAATTTAATTAACACTTTTTAGGAATTTCAAATTCCTTTTAAAATAATATTAAATCTCCAAAAAAGAATTTTAAGTTAAATTTTTAATAAAAATTTCTCTATTCCTCTAATTTACAAATTTTTCGAATAATAACCATTCACCTTCAATAGGTTCTCCTGTACTATGTCTTGTCATCTTTAACCACCGTATTCCACTCCAACTTGATTGCTGGAATTAACTAAAAAGTGTTCCCATCAAAATAAGAGGTCTGGTCTGCAAGTCGAGAGTCTGCCAAGTCTCAAGGTTATTGCCAGGTCGGATTTCCGTGGGTTAAGGGACGGGATATATACGTAGTATATATGGTACTCCCCAGTCGTAGACAAATTAGCAGTTTTCCATTTGGTTGCATGCAACATGGGCTGTGGCATGTGCAGAATTTTTGCTTTTTTGCAGGAAATGAAATATAAAAAAATGCGGGAGCAATGCAGCATTAAAATATGTATGTATGGTTTATTATTAATTAAATTAATTAATTCGTGCACCGCCTCCGGCTGAAATAATCAGTTTTATTTGGTGTTGAAAGTATTTCTGTTACCTGGCTGCCTGCCTCACTCACCATTGTTGTCGATTTAGGAAATTACTGCGGTCTGTCTCTGCCTAGCGAAGCAAATAAACCCCGCTGGGTGATATGTTCAAATCGAATTGGATCGAAGTCGAAGTCTCGAATGTAATGAGGCTGCCACAACAACGTGATTATGCAAATGTCTGCGCCACCAGTCCGGGGCTCCCCCTCGATCACCAATCTCTGATCCCCATCTATATGCATCTATATTCACTGCATAATCGTTAGCTCGTTGCATGTTGCACTCGGCTCATTAATGGGCGCGTTTTTGTGTTACTGCATTTTATTATTGCACTTGCTAATCACACGCCGGTCGTTATTTAATTGTGCCTAAGAGCCACCCGGCTCGCACAATGTGAAGCCCCCTAAAAAAAGAGCCCCCCGGGCCCAGGCCAATACCAAGCCTCCTCAAGTGCGTTTCGCTTCCGTTTTTCGTTCGATTTTGGGTTTATTTTTATTATTAGTTGTATTTTATTTTATTGCCAGGCACCCAGTAGCTCCATTTGTTAGCTCATAGATTCCCGCCGCCTCTTAATTCGTCTCGTAACGTATTTTATCGAATATTTAACGCCTCGCATGCCATTTTGAGTTAAGGAACTAATATCTATGAATTTAGAGTGCCATTAACACTTTTATTGGAAATGCGATTAAAATTAATTAAAAGATCTAAGATAAGGCTTAGTTTTTATAGGTTTTTTCCTTTAAAATTTTAATTTATAAGTTTACTTTATTAATTTAATTTATAAGTTTACAATATAAATTAAAATTTTTAATTTAATATTATTTAAATTAAAAAACAAATAAAAATTATTTAAATTTAAAATTTTAATTTTAGTTTAAATTTAAAATTTTAATTTATTTCATTTAAAAAAAACTTTTAAAATTAATCATAAAATTAAATGAAATAAATAATTAAAATTAAAATATTTAAAAAACTTTAAAAAGTAATCATAAAACCTATATTTAATTTACAGGATTTACTTAAATTAAAAAAAAAAACACTAATATTTGAAATCTGTCTAAATTTAATTAAATTATCAAGTTTTTTCTTTTAAATTATACTTTAGTTGGTTGTCTTTAATCAAAAATTCGTATTTATTTAATTTTAAATTATTTAAATAATTTTTTTTAATTATTTAAGTACTTTTTAAATTATTAAAATTTTTTTTTAATTTACTAAAATCATAAAATCTATATTTCTCACTTCAAGAATTTCTTTTAATATTTTACAAGCTAAAAATAAACTTTAAAAAATCTTTAATCAAAGCTCAGTAGAAATAGAGTTCTGTTTCTGATTTATCAAATTTTTATATTATTTATATTATTTATCTACATGCCCTTAAAATCCTTTTACTAAACCCTGAAATCTCCTTAAAAACTCTCTAAAGTATCCAAAGGAAAAGGAAAACAAAGCTGATTTATGTGTTAATGATGCTTTTTATGTTTAAAATATATTAATTCCGAGAAATAGAATGATTTCAAACAAAAAACTGTGTATTTAAGTCTTACAAAAACGTATTTAAATTAAAATATTCATACGTACATACATATAACATAAAAAAAAAACATTTCTTTAGTTCTCCTTGAACTTGAAAACTTAAGTATTCTTCTCATTTAATCATTAAAATTTACATTAAACAAAAAAACATACATATATTTTCCTTTGAATATGAAATTGAAACTTAAGCACAAGCAAAAGTATTATTTTCTTTTTATTCATTAAAACATAAATTAAATAAAAAACATTTCTTTTGCTCCTATGAACTTGAAATTTATACCAGATAAAACTTAAGTATTTCTTCTCATTTAATCATAAAAATATATCTCCATCGAGGGCAGTGAATGTGTGTGGATATGTAACCTTTTGCAACGTTTATTACTTCTTATTATTATAAATTATTACTTTTACTTCTTACGAGCTAAGCACAGAATCGTATTCCATGGCTGTATAAGTTTAGTTTTAGGTGTAGCTCTATTTTAATTCCTCTACTTGCTATTTACACGTACATTAAACGTAAATCCTAGCTTCATAGTTGGTATCAGTACGAGTTTCTTGGCCACTATCAACTAGTTGGTTGTTTTAATGATGCGAAAAAGATGATTGAAATGGATTTTTCAGTCTCTCTTAAAGCAATTGCTGGCCTCCCGGCAGCTGTATATCCTCCATGGTCATGGCCGTCTTGGGCAGCTCTGCTAGATCGCCCGGTGGCTCATCCTCGCCCTCGAGCATGGCACTGTCAAAGCTCTTGTTCAAGCGATCATGGAACTCGCTCATGCTGATCTTCTTCAAAGCGAAATGCTTGCCAAAGGTCTTCTTTACCTTCTGCCGGCGGTTCTTCTTCTTCAGCAGCATCTTGTTCTTGTTGAGGCCATCGCTAAAGGAGATGGCACGTCGCAGCTTGCGTGCACCGAACTTGACGATTCGCACTTGGCTGCTGATGGAGCACTCCTCGCTGTCATCCTCCGCATCGGCGGCATTCTCATCGCTGGGCTCCTCGAAAATCGTTTCCAGGTTGGCCGGCGTGAACTTCTTTAGCTTCTTGCTGGTGTAAAGCTTCTCAATGCTGCGCAATGTCTGGGCATTGGTGTTGAGCTCCTTGCGTTGCTTCTTTTTGGCAGGCTTCATGATGACGCTGCAGACGCGATTGAAGTTGTCCTTGGCCACACGGGCAGGCATGCGACGGCGTGAGACGCCAGAGCGGGTTGATCCCTGGTGGCTATACCGGGAACTACCGCTGATGCAGTCGCTGTCATCGTCGTTGTCCTCGCCGCGACTCAGCTGGGAGTCGACATCATCGGAGGCATTGGACTCGCTGCTTACATCGTCCTCGGACTCGGTGCCTCCTATTGCTCCTGGTGTCGGGTGTATGGAAGTGGTACGCATCATCTCAATGTCTGTCATGGTCATCTCCTTGACTCTCCAGGAGAGATTAGCAATGGTTGCACTTCTGAAAAAGGGGAGAAATCAGAGGCGTCCTACTTGTGGCCTCGGGAAATACCCACCGGTTCTCGGTCAGTCCCACCTCCTTTGGCTGAAACGTGATCTTGGCGAAATCGTAGACAATGTTATCCATTATGTTTTACCGGCCCATCAGAAGGCGGGCATAATCTTGTAAAAAAATTGTTTTAGAAAAGCGAACACAAAACTTGTAATCTCTGTTTGCAGCACTTTTTGAGAGAAAATACCACAGCAAACAAATAAAATGTGGGTTTTTTAGGTGTTTCCTCAAACGGTCATACAGAATTCACAAAGGGCTCATTACTGTGGCGTTGCCATACTATTTGTGGAGAACTTTCTGGCAATGCGGGTTGTTGAATTCAATTTTTAAACCAAAGAAATCTTAAAGTAACTAAAATCAATGGGGATAACATGTGTAATGTTAAATTAACTTTAAAACCTTTTTAGTATTGCGGTTTTGAGTGCTAAAAAATAAAGTTCTTGCTAAATTCATGGTCTTTGATTTGCCAACCGTTGCCTAGCAGAGCTGCCAGACATTTTTATAGTGTTGAAAATTACGGTTAGAGCTTGATTCTTGTAAAAACGGTTTAAAATCTCGAAAAATCGTGTAAAACTCCAATTTTTAGACGTGTCAAGCACATGCAATACTATATATATTGACGTTCTGAATCCAAAGTGAATAAAATATAACAGTATTTAAAATCTTTTAAAAATAAATTCGACATCTTATAAAATATTAATATTATAATTTTTATTCTTTAATATCTTTAAATTTAAAAATGGCTCCAATGATTAAATATAAAATTCTATAAAAATAATTGCAAGAAATTCCCACTCATATCCCCCTGTAATTTCCCTCTTATAATTAATCTTGCTTATTTATAATAAATTTAAATTAGTTTTTCCTCAACGTGTTGAAGAAGAAAACAATCAAATTATATTGATGTAATAAATCCCGCTTCGACATTTAAATCTTATCGAAAGTGCCAGTTTGTGTTGGAAAGATTTCGTCAAGTTGCCGTAGCTCCCCCCGCCGATAGATAAATCCGCCATTTAACCTTATCTGCATATCGTAAATCAGGCGACCGTTAGCAGGTTTATTCGTTTCCGGCCAAATCGAATGCTATAAAATCGCCTCGAAGGCTTGAATTTAATTCATTAAGTGTGTTTACTTTGCGCATAATGAAGGTGCTCGCGGTCCTGCTTCTGGGGGTGATTGCCTCCGCCTCGGCTCTCGAGAAGCCGGTCTTCTGGAAGGATGTGCCTGTGGGCAAGGCCTCGATCGAGGGACGCATCACCATGGGCTATCCGGCCTACGAGGGCAAGGTGCCCTACCAGGTGGGCTTGGGATTCACCAAGAACGGCGGCGGCACTTGGTGCGGCGGCTCCATCATTGGCCACACCTGGGTGATGACGGCCAAGCACTGTACCGACGGCATGGAGGCAGTGACCATCTACTACGGAGCCCTGTGGCGTCTGGAACCCCAGTATACCCACTGGGTGAGCCGCAACGACTTTATCGAGCACGGATCCGGTGACATCTCGCTGATCCGCACCCCACATGTGGACTTCTGGTCGCTGGTCAACAAGGTGGAGCTGCCCAGCTTCAACGATCGCTATAACAACTACCAGGGCTGGTGGGCTCTTGTCTCCGGCTGGGGTAAGACCTCGGATGAGGGTGGTGTCTCTGAGTACCTGAACTGTGTGGATGTCCAGATTGGCGAGAACTCTGTGTGCGAGAACTACTATGGCAGCTTTTCTGGTGACCTCATCTGCATCCCGACGCCCGAAAACAAGGGCACCTGCAGCGGCGACTCTGGTGGTCCTCTGGTCCTCCACGACGGTGCTCGCCAGGTGGGCATTGTCTCGTTTGGTTCCTCCGCCGGCTGCCTGTCGAATGGTCCCAAGGGAATGGTGCGTGTCACTAGCTACTTGGACTGGATCCGCGATCACACTGGAATTGCTTACTAAGCGGGATTTTAAATAAACTTTTGATATGAAATTTGAAGAAATTTGTTTGAAGATGTTTGTTAAAAGGGTTTGAACCTCACATATTTCTCAAATATTCCTCATATTTTTCTCTAATTGGTTCATTCTGTTCATTTTGTACATTCTGCTATCTCTTTTTATGTTGTTTATTCTTTTAATCCTGTTCATTCTTTTTGTTTTGTTCATGCTACTCATTGTTTTATTCATTTTCTTTCTGTTCATCCTGTTTAGTTTGTTCATTCTGTATTGTATTAAATTTTTTGACTTTTCATTCTTATTTTAGTTCTTCCAATAAATTCTTAATTTTCTTCTCAAATATAATCTATTAAGTGCTGCAAGCTTTCAAAACAAATAAACCCATACTACAGTTCCAATTAATTTTATTAAAAACCAAAACCCATCAAGGTCTTAGTAAGAAATGCCCGTGTTGTCACGGATCCAGTCCAAGTAGCTAGTCACCCTGGTCATTCCCTTAGGGCTGTTGGATAGACAGCCCGCAGAGGATCCAAAGGAAACAATGGCCACCTGGCGGTTGTCGTCGTGCAGGACAAGAGGGCCACCGGAATCACCGCTGCATGATCCCTTGTTCTCCGGAGTGGAAATGCAAACGTGATTCGGGGTGATGCTGGTGGTGCCATAGTAGGCCTCGCAGATGGAGTTATCAGCGATCTGGATGTCCACACAATTGAGGTAATCTGACACTCCGCTGGTATCGGAAGTCTTGCCCCAGCCGGAGAGCAGGGCCCACCAGCCGTAGTAGTTGTTGTAGCGATCTTCGTAGCGCGGCAGCTCCACCTTGTTGACCAGCGACCAGAAGTCCACATGTGGAGTGCGGATCAGCGAGATGTCGTTGTTAATGGTGCTCGTGTCATAGGCGTGGTGCTGGATAAAGTCGCTCTGGTGCACCCAATGGCTGTACTGGGGTTGCTGGCGCCACACGGCACCGTAGCCAATGGTCACGGAGTTGGCACCGTGGGTGCAATGAGCGGCGGTGAGGACCCAGGTGTTGCCAATGATCGAGCCACCGCAGTACCAGCCACTGCCGGCGCCGTTGTCGAACAGCAGGGTGACAATATAGGGTACCTTGCCCTCGTAAGCAGGATATCCATTGGTGATCCTGCCGCTAATCTTCCTGCCCAGCGGTACGTCCTTGAAGGGAACGGGCTTCTCAACGGCAGCCACCAGGGCCAAGGCCGAAATAAGCAGAACTCCTAGCACTTTCATGGTTCGATCACTTCTGGCACAAAGAAAGCATTGCTTCTGGTTATATAGTCTGCGGTGTCATCGTTTTCCTAACAATTATAAATACATTTCCAATCAGTTGAGTCGAAAATTTACAAGCCACTTTCTAAAAACTGATAATTGGCTCCAATCATATATATAATTTATTTTAGCTAATAATACTCTTGTATTTTACGGAACGAAATCTATAATGAGCAGAGATCTGATTAGGTGTGAAAAATAAAGGAATCAAAGAAGTTATCATCAAAACAAAAAATTTTAACATTTCTTATCGAAGAGAGAGAGGTTTAAGAGGTTATTATTTTATATAAATATTATTAATACTTTCTCGAAACAATTAATAATATTGTGTTGAAAGAAACCTATGGAGATCTCTCTTAGAGATCTGAAAAACAGTATACTTTTAATTTGTCAACTAAAAATTGGATTTGCTGCTCAGATTATATCACTTTATTTAATGTTGATGACATTGGTTACAGAACATAAAGAATATAGAATATGTACAGTCATAACATTGGAATTAAACAATTCTGCTCAAAATGGAATCCCGGTCTCTGTACTGATCCAGTTGATAAAAGAGGTTACACGGGTGTAGGCACTTGGAGCTGCAGTGCATCCTGCGGAAGCTCCGAACGAAACGATTCCAATTTGTCTAGGGTCAGTGGTTCCGGCATTAATGGCCAAAGGTCCGCCTGAATCACCGTAGCAAGTGGCCTGACCATTCGCTGTGCTAGTGCAGATGTGTGAGGGTTGTATGATATTATAAGATTTTTTGCAAACCTCGTTCGAAATAGCCACAACAAGGGCCCACTGTAACTTCTGAGGTTGCCCTTCTCCGTCACCAGTTTGTCCCCAGCCTGAAACCGTGGCCATCTGGCCCACGTAATCATCGTAAGGCGCCGTGGGCAATCCGATCTTGCCAATATGGTCGTTAAATATAAATGGCACAGGTAACTCAAGCAGGGAGATGTCATTCACTATGTTATCTATGTCGAACCCAGAGTGCTGTTTAAACTTATTACTGGGGACTACGCGTATTTCGCCAACCTCCAGATAAATTGATCCAGCGTAAACTGTTGCAAAAGTGGCACTGGCATTAAATGAAAATAATTATTAAAGATAACTGATAGGTTAGTTTCAGTTTACTTACCCGTCGGTACAGTGGGCAGCGGTTAGAACCCATTTTTTGTTGATGAGGGAGCCACCGCAAAACCAGCCGAAAATAAACAATTCAAATGCTATACCGACTTGATATGGAAATTGTCCTAACGAGGCAGTTTGTCCACCAACAATTCGGCTTTCAATGGATTGTTCCATTTTTCTGTCACGAGGATGAACTGGCTTAAACATGGCCGCCACAGGGCCCGCGGAGGCGCTGGCCAAAGCCAGTAGGAGAACAGCTAACACTTTCATTTTCACAACGAATGAATTTTGACCAACGATTCTGGCCTTATTTATACCAATTTATATATATTGAATGCTAGAAACGGCTCATTGTTCATTTTATATTAATGGCAAACACGAGCTTCTTTCTTTCTAACCAACTCTTCCGATATTGCCAGGTCCAAAATGTAGGCTAAATGGTCCTGATAAAGTTACCACCATATAAAGTTAAGGTTAATGCCCGAAACTTAGTCTGATCTCCAGATAATGGGGGTCCCATTAAAAGTTCAAGTTCAATTTCTAAATGCAAGTGCTCTTATTATTATTTCGCACTTGAAATTAGAGGCGTAATAAAAGTCTGTAGTTAAGACTAGTCTACTTTTTGGCGGCTTTAGGCAGGAATTACTGGGAAAAGTAAAGAAAATTTTTAAGTGTTTTTTGTGCAGATAAAAGAAGAAGTTTAAGTACAATTGTTTGATAAACATTGACGTTATTAAACATTATTGTAGCTCGTAGTATATCCTAAAAATGTGCAAGCAATGGTTGTTGTGCAACATTCTTCTATCAACATTTTCCTAGCAACATTTACAATGCAACATTTTCCTGTGCAAAGACAACATTTTCCCCAAAAGAAAGTTCCGTCATTGCTATTAAATCATGACTCGTTTTTTATTGAAAGAAAAGTGCTTAGTAGGAGACACCGGAGTTGGTCTTGATCCAGTCCAGGTAGCTGGTCACACGGGTGAAACCGGCGGGGGCACCGGACTCGCAGCCGGCGCTGGACACGAACGAGGTGACACCGATCAGTTTCTTGTTGCTGTCCAGGACCAGGGGGCCGCCAGAGTCGCCGTTGCAGGTGGAAATCTTGTTGGGGGTGGCAATGCAGATGACGCTGTTGGAGGCGACCAGAGTGCCATAGGTGTTCTGGCAGGTGGCAACGGACACAACTTCAAACTGATAGTACTGCAGGGTGCTGGCCACTCCGGAGGCGGAGTCAGAGGTCTTGCCCCAGCCGGAGGCGGTAGCCTTCTGTCCGGCATAGGTGGAGTAGGAGCTGGCGATTGCGGGCAGCTCAACCTTGTTGATGTATGTGGTGAAGCTGACAGCGTCAGTCTTGATCAGAGAGATGTCGTTCCTGAGGACGACCGAGTTGTAGCTGGCATGCTGGATGAACCTGGAGCTGGAAACGGTCTGGGTAACCTTGGCGCTGGTGCGGACGGTGGCGCCGAAGTAGATGGTCACCGAGGAGGCACCGCTGGTGCAGTGCGCAGCGGTCAGGACCCAGGAGTTGTCGATGATGGAGCCACCGCACCACCAGCTGCCGCTGGTGCTGCCGAAGCTAAGTCCCACCTGGTAGGGGAACTGACCCTCGGTGGCGGTCTTGCCATTGGTGATGCGACCCTCAATGGAAGGCATCGAGGACAGGTCCTTGGGGTGCACGGGCATCTGCTGGGGCAGCAGGCCGGCGGAGGCGGTGGCCAGAGCAAGGGCGAAAACTACGAGCACTTTCATGATGGATCGAAGAACGAATGATTTGCCAACTACAGGGGCTACACTTTATATACCATGGATCTTGGGGCCGGGCCTCTTGAAGCGTGCTGAAAAATACTTATCAGGGCGATAGGATACGGGGCTACTTATCAGCTTCGATTGACCAAATACGTAAAGAAGTGTCTTCCGTTATCGGAAGAGAGATTACACACCGCAGGCTTTCAATTAAACGCACTTCACTTTATGAAAGAGCGGTGGCAGACGTCTAGCACTTTGGGGCTTGTGATAAGCATAGATTTCTTTCTAAAACGAACGATTTTTGCTGACTTTTGCACTGCCAAAAAAATAAGAAATATTTATATTTAGCTGGAAAAACCGGCTTTGCTTGGTTTAGACCGATCGATTGCTTTCTAATCGAATTATATATTTTTGAATCGATCAGAGAAATTGTTTACGGTTGCTCTTCAGTGCCTCGAGTGCCTGAAATTCCCACTGATTATCTTCGCTGATGGTTGGCCCCAAATCATATCAAGTATACGCAGCGGTGTGCCCAAAACTTGCCAACTCATGAGGGTTGGAGGGGGAAGAAAGGCGATGAAAGGAGAAGCTTAGTGGCGAGGCAAGTGACACTGGCTAGCTGAATCTGGGAAATTGAAATCAAATCGCCTTACGTGTCGGGCATGCAAAGCGAGAAGAAGCCAGGACTAGGACCAGGACCCAGGCCGGACATTAGCACATAAAAACAATTCATTGCCTTTCCTGCTGACACATGTAGACCTTCAGACCGTCGTCGGAAGCACCATAGTTGCCTCCATGTAGTTGTTGCCACTCACTGTGCGTGTCTGGGCCATAAAATAGATTTCCTCTTATCGCTATGGATTTCCTCTTATCGCCAACTTAAAGAGGAACAAAAAAGGGAAATCCCACCAAATATTTAATCCCTGTATTAACTGCACTTTATTGATTTTTATTTCTCCTTCTGTTTGAGCACTTTTTTTTTATGGTGGCTCTTTTCGCTGATTGCGGAAAAAATTTCAGTCCTTTTGTCTCCAGAACCAGGAACAAAGGAACTAATTTTCTTGAAATATTTGCTCTCATTGTTGGTCGAGGAGGAGCAGGAGGAGAAGCCGTTTTAAAGGCAGTCAGTTACCCTTTAAATTGCTGGCAGAGATATATGTAATGCACTTATATATATAAGTATATATAAATTTATATTACGTATACGTAATGCGCTCACCCGAGACAAACACACACACACACACGCTTATTAGACGCATATCCTGCCAGTGAACAGGACAACAATAATGTCCAGTGCTCTTGGAATCTCGGCTAGAAGGAAACTTCTGTTCACTCGACCAGTTGCGTGGGCGGCAGGACTCGACAAGGACACGAATATTCATTCAGGAAGCGACTACGCCTCTGGCTCAAGTGGTTTTATAAACAGTTGAGAGGGAAATAATAGTAAAGGATGTTCAGGGTCTTGAATATATTATTAAACTAAAATAAATAATAAAGAAATAAGTTAAGATTTGTACTTAAATAATAAAAATTATTAAGGGTTCTTAAAAATATTTTTAAACTGGGAAAAACCATTAAAAAATAATAAAGAAATACGTCAAAATAATTTCTTAAATAGTACAATTTATTAAACATATTTTTAAACTGGGAAAAATCATTAAAAATATATCTAAATATATATTTAAAATAATTTTACCTGAAAAACGTTCCTTAAAACCATATAAAATTATATTAAAAAACCCCATAGTTTTCTTATTTCCCCCTCAATTGTATTTGTACCCAAGTGTATCCTTAGTAAGGCATTTGAAATGTCCCCCAGCGAGCGCTGTCCTTTGACGAGAAAAGGGAAAAGGACGAGACGACGACGACGACGACAAACAAGATTGCAGCAATAAAATTTCGACAAGTGAACAACAAATGATAAACGAAGCAGCAGCTTGGGATAAAAAGCAGCAGCAGCGGAGCAGCAAAAGGAGCAGCAGCCCTCGGAGAGGTCAGTTTCGGATAGCACTTGAGATGCTGGTGGCCAGTGCCAAGGATTCCAAACCCACTTCAGCTGGCCGGGCAACAATCTAATGTGAGCCGCATCGATTACGCTACCACTGTCACTCAGGACTGTGTGTTTTGGCTGTTCCTCTGGCAGGAATTGTTGTTTAAGGCACTTTAAGAAATTATTATATTTATAAAAAAGAGAAATTAAGAAGCTTAATAAAATAAAATATTTAAAAATGTAAAAGTTAAGTGTAAATATTAAAAATAAATATATATTAAGTGTAAATATGTATTTTGCCAGAATTTTTTGATTATTTTATTTTTCATAAAGAGGCATTTATTATTTTTTATAGTATAAACTTGTTTAAAATCATAAATAAATTACCAAACTAAATTTTGTACATTTTAAACCCCTCTTTTTCTTTCACTGTACCATATAGTAAGCTCAACTACTCTCAGTTCAGTTCGCTTCGGTGTTTTTTTGCGTTAAATTGTCATGAAACTGTCGCCATGCCCTGCGGTCAGCTCAAGAAATCCGTCTCGGTCTTGGACTCCTTCTCCATCTCAAACTCCACCTCCTTGTTGGCCAAAATTAATGACAACTGTCTGGACCAGCTGACCCGCCGCTGGTGGAGGAGGATCTCCTCCCCTTTCGCTGATGACTTATCACAGGGGAACTATGTCTATTTCCTGCTATAATTCAAATTGCTTTCGGGGATGTCAACAGCAGCCGCCTCATTAATCATGCCTCCTGGAATGGTCTCACATTGCGTATGAGTAATGCGATTGTCAGGCACCTTTTTTCTACCGTAAACTTTGGCAAGAAGAACTTATACTATATTCCCTACCATTTTCCAAGATGTTACTCAAATGCAAGGAGAAAAAACTTTATACCCCATTTCATGTTTTTTTCTTGTTCCATTTTTTGAAATGCAATTTGTTGCTGCACTTTGGCTGAGAGCTATAAGTACAGATGTGTTGGCGTGACTCACGTACTTACCTCCCTTTTCCTTGGAGCCAAGTTAACCCGGAGACTTAGCAGCAGGTCCCGGGACTTGGTCAAAGTTTTGTGTTGCAGTTTGTCAACTCGTTTTTAATGCGCGATGTATTGAAAAAGTTTGATTAGGGAGCAGCTGGCAGACTCCCAGTAACCAGTAACCAGTTACCAGCTACCAGCTCCCACCTGAGCTCCCAGACATGAAAACTTGATAAAGAGGAAGCTTAGTGGCGAGGATTGCACATACGCCCCGTTGTACTGTCAATATTGTGACGCAAATCCGACAAGCAGACGACAAACACAAGTGTCCACCGTTAAATTTTATGTTACGGGATCAAACTAAGTTATTATATGGGGGGAAAATACATAAATGTATATGTGATATATATGATTTCTACTATATATTTTGTGTATCGAAGCGTTGAGATGGCTTGACAAATATTTGGGGGTACAATTTTTGCCTGCTTTGTGATTTTCTATCAATAAGCTGAAGGAAGCTTTTGCATATGAGCGAAGGCTTAGTCTTTTTCCTATTTGAAATATCAGAATATATATAATATATATATATAAATATAAAATATAAATTCCTGCCAGGCAAACAAATCCTTTTCGATAGATTGCTTTTGGCTTTGCCTTTTTTTTCGTCGTCGTCGCTTTTATTATTGTGTGCCAAACGCCAAGGATTTTTGTCTACTACGACAATTGGATTTCTACGGAAAGTAGGGAGTGGAGAGCAGAAGAATTTTCACTTGGAATGGGTTTGATACGTGTCCCCTAACGGAGGTGGCACTTGTCTGCTTATTGGCATTGGCACATCCCACCAAAAAAATACAACAAAAAAATTATTCCGCTTGGGCCATATCAATGACTTTTGGAATATTTACAGGGGGTTTCCTTTTGTTCCGGGAATATTCTTGGCAGCGGTATATGGCAACTTTTCCTTTGTACTGTGTCCCTGTCTGTGCAGTTGAATTTGAATGCAGTCGAAGGATATCCTGGCTCTGGAGGATGGGAATACTTAATATCAGGGTCTGCATTCAGTCGGGAATCCGCTTTGTTGGGAGGACTTCATTAATGCCTGTGAAATATGCCAAACCTTTTTTGAAGTATCTTCTCCATCAAGGGGGAGAATATATAACTAGTCATCAAAATTTAGCATGCAAATATTTATATGAATATGCAGCTGAGGCTGGCAAATGCTTTATGGCTTATAAACATTTTTGTTTGCCAATATTTTTCCTTGTTGTAATTTCGGTTTATTGTTTTCTATATATTTTTCTGCTTGAACGCACTAAAAGCCACTCCACTGCCAGTCAGCCATTGAATCCACCTTCCATCCGGAGAGCTCCTCCCATATTTCCTCCTCGATGCCGGCATTTGTTTGCTTTATGTCTTTATTTTCTGCCCCCTGCCCGAGAGAGGAGCAAAAGTATTATTATTTTTTGCCCTACTCCTGCTGACGTTTCTCTCCTTTCTTTCTTTTTTTTTTACTTTTTTCACTGACTGATGGCTCTAGGTAATGCCAGGATGCCAGGATTCGGGTTGGGTGAGTGAGGGAGCGAGGAGATTTCGGTGAGTGCTCTCTGAGCGGCTTTGCATATGGGCATGTGTGTGCTATCTACTTGATATGCTCTTGCAGCTTTTCGAGTCCCAAAAAGGACGAGATGTTTCAATTATGTTTACCGCTCGCTAGTCCCCAAAAGCAGACGCACTTCTTTAAGTATTTCTCGAGAAGTAAGCCATTAACTTTTCCCGTCAATCAATTGTCACTCCCAAAGGGGAAAACAAAAGGAAAGAAACAAAGCCAAAAAAAAAAAAAAGGAAACATGAAAACAAAAGGCACGAGACCATGACAAGACACTTTACTTCCATGTGAATGGAATGAAATTAACAGCAGAAAAGGGGAAGTTATTTTTGGCCAAAGGACATCCCTGACTGGGGATTGCTCTCTTATGGGTTTTAGCAGAAAGATATTTATCGGAATCAACTTGTGTGAAAATTTAATTAAGGAACTAAAGCTGTGCTAAGTTCATGAATTTTTATAGGTTTTTTATCAGCAGGAAAAGGAAATTAGTAAACACATTATAAACACTGATTTTTACTTTATCTTTGAGAGTTTTATTATAAGGAAAAATAATACTCTGATAACATTTACGACTGTGTAATGGGGAAGTACTACTATATCGATAAGAAAATTCTTAGAATATGTATTGACGTAAATATCTCGCTCAATATCATATCAAGAATATGGTAAGGCTTGAAAGAGCGGAATTAGAATATATAGAAAAATATCGCATTCATCTATAAAATATCGATGATATCGATAATTTATCTAAACCATTTTTTTTTAAACGGGCTTATATTTATTTTAAGTTTAACAGAAAGTAAGTACGGTATAACAAAAATAATATTAATTTTTTGCAGCCTTAACATATCGATTATTAATCGGTTTTTGTAAAATATAATTGCTGTATCGATAGTATATATATTTTTATGATTCTTACTGTGATATGAATATGTTACCCTATTTATTTGTGATTAATATAACTTCCAAGATAAAATAAAACCTATTTAGCATAGATTTTTCTCAAGTAGTGAGTCTACAAACCCAATTAGGAACCCAATTTTTGGCCATCTACAAGCCTCTCTGTTAATCAAAGGAACCAACTTTGGTCCAGAAACAAGCATGGCCACTCAATCAGCAGTCAAGGCAAAAACCAAACCGCCCAAAAACTCTTTGTCTCCGAGTCCAAAGCCAAAGCCAAAACAAAAAACAGAAAACAGAAAGCCAGCGAACTTTGCCGTCAAGTCATTGCGGTGGTAGGGTGGTGACCATGATGCTGGCTGGCTGGCTGGCTGCTGGGTGGGTGGTTCAAGTGGAGACCTCACCAAGTGTTGTTTGGATTTCATTATACAATTATCTTGTTACCAGAAATAATGGTGTCGAGCCGGGCAACATGCCAAAAGCATTCAATGAGCTTGATGCGCCTTCTACTTGCCCACTTACCCCGCACCCTTCACATTCTCTCTCCCTGTCAGTCAGTCAGAGTCCAACCCTCTCCCACACACACACACACATGGGAGTGTGTGTATTGTGCCGGATGCTGAGCGCGTTAGGAAAAGCAGGAAGTCATTAGCCGAAAAAACTCTGGTGATGGCGCTTCCAACTGGGGGTTGGTTAAGCACCGAGGAAGGAGCCAGTAATGCGATAAATAAATGAAAATGTTTGAGTTAAATGAATTAAGTGTGCGATACTCTTTCACTGGGTGTGTTTTGGGTGTGTGTTGTGTGTGTGTTTTTCTGGCTTCTTTTTTGTTAGAAACACTTTCTGTGTTGGCCTGTCATCGAAAGTGACTTTGGGGTTGTTAAAGTGCTGGAGCAATAGTAATTGTTCGTCGCTTAATTAGCCAAACATCATTCAAAGTGTCACAGCCACACGTCGAGCCCCAAAGGGGTTAAGAGAATGTCAGTCAGCCAGCCAAAGTTGGTCCAAACTTGTATATTTTCCCGTTAAGTCATTTCGCGTTGATTGCTTATCGTGAAGTTTGTTTAGTTTCATGTGGTTTTGTTTTAGGAAAATGTCTTTGAAAGTGGGTTTTATTTAAGCACAAAGTCTAGGATACAGATGGTTATATTCTAGGTTAACATCAAGCCTTTAATTTATAATTTTCTTTTTGTGGTAACCTTACAAAATTAACCCACAGAGCTTCTTGAAGGTAGATCTTAGGTTTTATTACCAGTACTAGGGTTTTCCTTACTTTATTTTATTCTATATTTCCCCCTTGCGGTTGCCCGGTTTTTAATGTTTAAAACCAATTAAAGTTAAGCCCAAGTTGTCTACCCAATTAACCCATTAAACATCATAAGCATCATCATCATGGCTTTAACTATTTGCAGTTCTAACTCACTTCATCCACTTGGTGACCCCGAAATGCTGACTTTGCGAATTTACTTGGTCCTTATATCCTTTTTTTGTTTTTGTTTTGTTGGCTGGCTGATTTCGACGCGACTTAATTAATTATGTAGCCGAATCATGGCCCCACCAAAAATCGTTAATTAAGTTGATTGCTTTGAATTGGCTGGCATTTATTAGCCAGGATTGTGTGTTAGTGAGTAGCCAGTCGAAAAGTCCCTGGACCCAGGCCCCTCCTCTGGGGCATAATTGATGAGCTGACAGTTTCGTTAATTGATTTTGCTCTGTGATTAGAGTCTCCATATACGATGCGAGAATTGATTTTATTAGCTGCCACATGAAACAGAGTTAAATATTTAATTTGATGAGCGAACTGGGTCAGAAGAGATTCGAAACCGAGAAGGTTATAAATAATAGACTTAAAGTCGATAGCCTTAGGCCAAATATTTTGGAAATAAAGTGAATCGAACGAAAAGCACTTGACCAACTAACTGGAAGGCCTTTGGAAAGTTCACTTCAATCGGGGCAAAACAAGGAAGTGAAGTTTGTGGCCAAGATAGAAACCAACTTTCGACGTTGTTCAATCAGAGCCAAATGCAACTGGGCAAAGTGGATTTTAAATAAAAAACTTTAGCCATAAACACTCGTCGAGAGCGACTGCCGGGTTGACATTTTAACTAACTTTTTGCCATACCCACACACAGCTCTACTAACTTGTGCGTTTTTATAACGCTTGAGGTTGAGGTTCATGCTCAAAGGGGGTTGGTTGTGTATGATATTTTGTCATATCTAAACCACAAAATGCGAGTGCAGGAAACTTTTTGTGCTGTCATAAATTTCCGCAATGCAAACATTTATCAGCACGGCTGGACCTGGTCCCCCAGCTCAGCTGCTGTTATTTTCCCTGACTGACTTGGTTATGTTGTCTCCGGATCTGCTTTTTCCCCGAGTAAATGCTTTTTACCGCAGTAGCATCTGTTCGAGACTGGTTTTTAGGCGCCACCTGCTATCCTTCCACACATGTGGGGGGGAGGGGGAGGTCCTTGCACCGTCAGAAAATAGAAATAAATGCCGCACTTAGCCCAGTTTCTGGGGGCTGAAAAGTTTGGGGGAATTAAATGCTGATGGCCTGAAAATAATAAAAAGTGCTACAAATGAAGCCAACAACTTTTGTCATTTATTCAAATGCCTGGCGATAATTCAAGTGCTGACATATTGTCTGCGTTTTTTGTTTTTGTCTTTTTTCAACTTTCACTTGAGTGGGAAACTTTTTCTTTTTGTTTTCTTGTATTGCCAGTTTTCAGTTTTTATTGTCTCGCTTTGGCAATTTAATGAATTTTAATGAAAACTTATGTGTTGAGGGCCGGCAACAGCTTGGCCATTTTTGTGTTTGTTCTTTTTATATAGATTAAATTCAGGCTGTTGTTTTATTTAAGTGATTATTGAGAGGGGAATTGTTTCAAGATTTTCCTATGTTGAAACTAAATTGATGCCAGCAGGATAAATGCAGAAAGTGCTTTGGAGGTAGTGGAACGATCTGTAAAATATGGAGGTTATCCGGCTCGAAGGACCAAAGTGTAAATTGGTTGGTTCTTTGTTAGCTTTAAGTTAGTATTATGTTATATATATAAAAAAAAAAAAAAAACAAAGCCACATATTCGTTAGAATTCTTTTTTATTTTTGCTCATAAAGTGAAGTCCCTGACTCCTCCTTAGTAGGAGATGCCAGTCTTGGTCTTGATCCAATCCAGGTAGCTGGTCACACGGGTGAAGGCAGCGGGGTAGCCCTTCTCGCAACCAGCAGCAGCTCCGAAGGAGGTCAGACCGACCTGGATAGTCGACTTGGTGACCAGTGGGCCGCCGGAGTCACCGTTGCAGGTGGAGATACCGCCGGTGGTGCTGACGCAAATGTTGGAGGACACAACGATCGAGGTTCCGTAGGTGGCGGCGCACACAGAGTTGGCAATGACGGTCATTTCGGCGTAAGCAAGGTTGGTGGCCACACCGCTGGAGGAGTCAGACTGGCGACCCCATCCGGAGGCGATAACAGTCTCACCAGCATAGGTGCTGTACGAGCTGGCAATGGCGGGCAGGGCGACGGCCTTGATCTTGGTGGTGTAGGTGGTACTGGGGATCTTGATCAGAGAGATGTCGTTGCGCAGGTTGGCGCTGTTCCAGCCAGAGTGGATGATGATGCTGCTGCTGGAGACGGTGTGGCTAACCTCGGGGGAGGTACGCACGGTGGCGCCCAGGTAGACAGTCACGGACTGGACACTGTAGAGGGTTGAAAAATAAAATAACTTACGGGTAGAGGAAAAAGGATTTGCAAGGACACTCACCCATCGGTACAGTGAGCAGCGGTCAGGACCCACTGGTTGCCGATCAGAGAGCCACCGCACCAGGCGCTGGACAGAGCGCTCAGCTTGAGGGAAAGTCCCACCTGGTAGGGGAACTGACCCACGGAGGCGGTCTTGCCGTTGGTGATGCGACCCTCAATGTCGCCGACGACGGGCATCTCACGGTTGCGGTGCTGCAGCTGCGCTTCGGGGAAGGCAGAGGCGGCCACGGCCAGGGCAAGGATGATCAGGAACTTCATCTTCTTCGGGGGTATTGTTGCGTGTTCAGTTAAAGAAACTCAACTGTTTTGACACTGACCCCACGACGGTCTTTTATACCAGCTGGAAATCGCAGATTAGGTTGCATTTCACAAATAGAGCCTTCTTTTAGTGATTAGATATGGCCAAAAGTCGTCAGTTTTAAGTGTGTCGTTATCTTTGAAGATTCGCAGCGGAAGATATGCGTGAACTTCAGCCACCCGGCCGCCAAAATAACTTTCCCAAAAATGGCTCAAGGGTATTGGGGTAAAAATACCGATAGGGATCTAATCTGCCCACTGGGTTTGCAGCATGAGGTTGCTAATTAATTTGATTAGTTCTTTATAAATATATATCTATGTAATATGGGCAAGGGTGTGCCGCTCTTGTAGTACTATCTTATCAAGAAAGAGTGTCTCATAAGCCCATAGTTCCGCTAGTTTGTTTACCTGTAAAGGTCAAGGCATAAGAAGCCTGTATAGTTAAACTTTTCACAATAAAAGCTTAATCACTCAACTGTTAAATATAATATTTATTATAAAAAATTTAAGCATTGACAGGCTCTCTTTTAAATCAAAATTTACGATAATAAACAAACAAACAAGGTACAGGTACGCTTTGGTTTCTTTATCAAAGCGATTGCCGCGTGATTTGATGACGCGTTGGACTGGACTGGCTGAATGACCACATCGCTGCGGTTAATGGCCAATTCAAAAGGCCAATTAAAGACGATTAGGGTGGGAGTGGGCGGTAGGAAGGTAGAGAGAGAGAGAGAGAGAGTAAAATCAACACCACATTGACGGACAATCAACTCGAAGAACATTTCAATTTCGCCAGCGAATTTATCAGCAATTTTCGCTAGAAATTCTCTGAACCCTCTTTGCCCTTTTATTGAGCTTTTCCCCAAATTGGCTTGGCGTAAATGTTTATTGTTATTTATCGACAACAATTTCCATTCCAGCAGGGAAAACAACCCCCCATAAAATGGACCATTTTCACCTTCTCTACGGTAGGGTCCCTACCTCCTCCTTCTCGTCTCGGTTTCCTTTGCTGAAATTGGTTTTATTGTCAGCCTCCGACTATATTGTTTAGCAATTAATGGGCTGCAATTAGGCGTTAATTGCATTTAGTTGGTCGTTGTTGGTTTGCTGTCGGATCCATGGCAAATATGCGGTTATCCTGGCGTAGACAGTGGGCGCCCCCAGCTCACAGCCGCCGGCACTACCGAACGAGGTGACCCCAATTAGGTAGCTGACATTGTGCCAGTGGAGGACCAGTGGCCCACCAGAGTCGCCATTGCAGGCGCCACGGTTAAACTTGCCATCAGTGCAGAGGTGTCGTCGCTGGCTTACCAATCCGGGCAAGAAATGGCACACACAGCGCTCCTGATCAAGCACCTCCACATCGAGGAAGTAAAGAAGAGGGGTATCCTCTCGCGGAGTATCTTCTTTTAAGTCTCCTAGACTGCCCCAACCTGTAAGTGTCACTGGCTGACCCTCTAGAAATTTCTGATTCATAAACTCCCCAGCCAGCTCTATGGGCTGCACACTATCAGAGATTAGTGCCTTCCTAGGCAGCCGTATCAAGGCCAGATCATTGTAGCCACCAAAGCCCAGGTAACCAGGATAGATTATAAAGTCCTTATGGCTGACTAGGAACTCCTCTTCAGCATCCTTGACATCTGCGAATCTAGTGGCACCCGAGTAAATCTTCGCCCCGATGGCATCTACCAAACAGTGAGCTGCCGTTAGGACAAACTGCTTTGTGATGAGGGAACCACCGCACTGGATGAGTGCTCCGGCACTCTGCTGAATCACCAGAGCCACTTGATGCGGAAACATGCCGCGCGTGGCCAGTTCCCCGCCAGCTATTCGAGTGGCTATGGGTGAAGTCTGGTTCTCTTCCGTCGCCTCGAACTTTTCACAGCGAAGTCGCCAGTGCTCGTAGCCCAGCTGCCAGCGACGCTCCATGATGGATTCATCAGGATCAGTAGGATCTTCTTGGTGAGTATAGTGCCAGTCTTCAGTTGATGTAGCTTTAAGGGGGAGTAGTACTAGGAAGAGGACAGAAAGTGCTGAGTAGGGCGACATCTTATCTGTAGAAGAAATGGAAAATATTTTGGTTTATTTTTAGAACTTTATTGCTTGCGGTAGATTTTTAATTGAGGGAATGACTTTTGTCTTTCGAAAGTGAGACTGTTATAAGAGATATCAGCAGGTTTTAAATGTATTTAATCTATATTTAATAGTGATATGTATATCTTAGTGATAATGAAGTAGACATCTTGATTCAAATTATATTAATATTAAATAAGAAAACAAAATAAATATGTATTGGAAATGTTCGATATGATAGTATATCAACAAAAATATCGGGTTTAAAGTTTATATTGACCTATATCTAAAGTATCGATAAAATATCGATATTATCTATAAAGCTCAAGTATTTATTTAATTTATTTGTATTTTTTACTAATTATATTTAAAAAATATTTAAAATTATATTTTTAGAATTTCTTTATATTTATTTCCAATTATCTCTATTTAAAGTCTTATATCTCAAACCGAATTTTGACTTATTGCACATTTAAATATCGATACACTAACGATATATCGCTATATTTGCCTTCCCTAATACAAATATTATTTTTTTATTTTTCCAATAACAATTTAAATAATTTTTAGATTATTTTTTTTGATCTAAAAGGCTTAAATAAATACTTTTAAATTAAAGAAAAACGTATCTAAAATCGATAAATGTAAACCAAGTTATCAAAAAACGTTTAAAAAAAAAACAATGCTTATTTTTCATAGTTACCCTTTTTTAATATATTTATTACAAACTTTTTAATCAAAAAATAAAACAGAAATTCTATGAAATACTTGTTAATCCGCGTACCGACGTTCTTTGTTGCCTGTAATGATCAATATTGAGTTCCGTCTGGGTGGGCCCTTCATGTGGAGGACTGAATGTGGTTTTTATAGCCAACAACCGAGTGTGGCATCCACATTGCGTCAGCGTCTTTTTCATGGCACGTGTCCGACTCAGTCTCCAACTCCAGCTCCGTCTCCCGTCTGTTAATTGAATTTGCTCCGATGGCTTGGCCCAGTGCAAATTACAGTCAAGAAAGAGCAGATGTTTGGCATTCAATTCCTGAAGCTGCCGTGTAATTGCCGCACGTTTCGGCGATTATATCGCTTAGGCCTTGGTCTTCGACTCCCTGCGACTGCCACTGCAGTTGGCTTAATTGCTTTCGGCGTATATTTCAATTGCATGATTCCTCCGCCAACCCAAACCAACTCTCTGACTCGGCTGTCAGCAATGTCTGGGTCGGGGTCTTAATATTTATTGACTGGCGTTTTATCAACGCTTAGTTTATTATTTGTTTAATTTACTGCAGGCCTTTGCTTGGATTTCACCATAAATGCTAGGCCTTCTGGCGCTGCAATCAATGGCCCATATATGGTTATGGCCTTTGTGTTTTTATAATGACCTTAAATGAGTTGTAAATTGGAATTTATTTATTTACTTGGAGCATCGAGTATTTGTTGAGGTAATAGGAGAGTAAATACTAATATTCCGAGTGAAGGGGGGTAAAGGAAATATGGGTTTAACTAAGCTAAAGAACTATTGATAGAAAATAAATAATAAATATGTAAATAAATAAATTCAAGGGGGTATTAAAGTGTATGTAAATGTAAATTATTTATAAATTGTTTTTAATTATTTAATTTATGAAAATAAAAAAAGATTTCCTATGGGGAATACAAAATTTAAGTTCAAGAGCTATTGAACCCAGTTTCTAAAGAATATTTTTTAAACTCTGTAATAATCTTTAATAAAATAATATTTAAAATATATAATATAAATATCTTTTAAATATTTAGTATTTTATACAAGCTATTTATTCTGTTTTTCAGAGAAAATATTTTGTTTCTGAAGCTATGAAAGCTAAACAGAGTCTAAAAAAATATATAAAAATATTTATACTCTTTTAAAATTCCATTAATAATATAATATTTAATTTATTAAATATTAATATTAAATAATATAATAATAAATAAATAAAACAACTAATTTATCAATTCAGAGAATCATTTTTTATTGCATATTGTAAATCGTTACATTTTCCTCGCAAATCTCCTTAATAGGAAACTCCAGAGTTGGTCTTGATCCAGTCCAAGTAGCTGGTCACACGGGTGAAGGCAGCCGGGTAGCCGGCCTCACAGCCAGCAGAAGATCCGAAGGAGGTGATGCCGACAAGAAGGTTATCCACAGCCAATGGGCCGCCGGAGTCACCCTGGCAGGTCGACTTGGCACCAGAAGTTCCCACGCAAAGAACTTTGCTGGTGACGATCACAGTGCCGTAGACGGGCGAACAGTCGGAGTTAGGGATGATAGGGAGGTCGACGTACTGCAGCTTCGAGGCCACGGAGGTGTCCTTATCGGAGGTCAGTCCCCAGCCAGAGGCAACGCCGGTCAATCCCACATAGGTGGAGTAGCTGCTGGCGATGGCGGGCAGGCCAATTTTGCCAACGGCGGCGGAGAAGGAAATCGTTGGGGTCTTGAGCAGGGAGATGTCGTTGCGGATAGTCACGGAGAGGTAGCTTTCGTGCTGAATCCAGTCGGAGCTGGCCACGGTCTGGGTGAACTTGGGGCTAGTGCGAACGGTGGCTCCGTAGTAGATGGTCACAGAGTCGCCACTGTAAAAAGGACAGTCCCCGTATTAATAGAGATCCTTGTTAAGCCAGAAACTAGGATAACTTACCCGCTGGTGCAGTGAGCAGCAGTCACCACCCAGTTGGTGTCGATGATGGAACCACCGCACCACCAGCTGCCTTTGGAGCTGGAGAAGCTTAGTCCCACCTGGTAGGGGAACTGGTTAGCCACGGCATCCTTGCCATTGGTGATGCGACCCTCGATGGATGCGACCTTCCTGTCCTTGGGATGCAGGGGAGCGGTCTGGGGCAGGAGCCCGGCAGAGGCGGTGGCGAGGGCCAGAACGAGGACGACGAATACCTTCATGTTGATGGTGCAACTGATATTTTCACCTGCCAAGAGCTACCCTTTTATAGGGGTTCTTATCTGGACAGAATGCTATGTACTATTTGGCCAGAGCTCTTGTGATAATGCTTCTGGTTAGGTTTTTATCAATTGATAATGTTTCTTTTTTAGGGACCTATGTATACATATATTTAACTAATCTAATAAGACTTTAAAGCGCACTTACTTAGCATTTGTTTATCAATTATTTCAATTATTTGTTGGTCATAATCAGGGTGTGTCTAGCCTTAATAATAATACTTAATACTTTGATATATTTAGATACGTTATCGGGTGGTTTTTAGCATTGTAAACTATTTATTTATTTTAAATTAAATGTTGTTTTGTTTTCAGATTATATTTATTGAATTTTAAGCTGTATTTTCTTTTGTCCATCCATTTCTTTATTTAAACATTTAACCAAAAATAATTACATTCCCATCTAAGCGGAAACTCCAGAGTTGGTCTTGATCCAGTCCAGGTAGCTGGTCACTCGGGTGAAGGCAGCCGGGGCTCCAACCTCACAGCCATCGGGAGATCCGAAGGAAGTAATACCAATAAGAGTTCCATCCAGAGCCAAGGGGCCACCGGAATCACCCTGGCAGGTGGAGACCGAGTTGGGAGTGGCCACACAGATGACGCGGCTGGTGACAATCAGGCTGCTGAAGGACTTGAGGCACTCGGCATTGGAGATGACGGTGAGGTCGGTGTACTGCAGATCCTTGGCCACGGCAGTGGCAGTGTCAGAGGTCAGACCCCAGCCAGAGGCGACGGCGGTCTGTCCCACATAAGTGGAGTAGCTGCTGGCAATGGCGGGCAGAGCAATCTTGTTAACAGCAGCGGAGAAGGTAACAGCCGGAGTCTTGATCAGGGAGATGTCATTGCGAACCGTCAGGGAGAGGTAGTTGGCATGCTGGACAAAGTCCTTGCTGGCCACGGTGTGGGTGAACTTGGGGCTGGTGCGGACAGTGGCTCCGTAGTAAATGGTGGCCGAGGAGGCTCTGAAAACGAAGATATTTATTAATCAAGATCATAGTTTTAGCCAAAGGCTGGTACAACTCACCCGCTAGTGCAGTGAGCAGCAGTCAAAACCCAGTTGTTGGCAATGATGGAACCACCGCACCACCAGCCGCCATCGGAGCTGGAGAAGCTGAGTCCCACCTGGTAGGGAAACTGGTTCTCTGCGGCATTCCTGCCGTTGGTGATGCGTCCCTCAATGGAAGGAGCCACCACCCTATCCTTGGGGTGCACGGGCTGCACCTGAGGCAGGATTCCAGCGGAGGCCGAGGCAATGGCCAGGATCAGGACAGCGAATACCTTCATGTTGACGGTGAATCGTTGAATCGAAGAGTGAATGATTGTTGGCCATAACTTGGCTCATTTTATACCCGGCCCAGAAGGGTCTTATCGGCCAGATCGCCGCTGGGCAAGTCCCACTCCAAGTATGGCGATTGATTTTATTTCGTGGAAGAAATTTCTGGGGGAAAATCCACTTGCATGAATGGTGAACTTATGATGGGCTGATAACTGAGTTACTTATGCAATAACACGCGTATTATTTTATAATAATTTAATCTATTTAGTTTACAAGTTTTAGTTATCTGTAAAAAATATCTTTTAATTACATTTGATTATTTACAACGTTTATTAATTATAACTATAAATTTAAGGTATTATCGTAACCCAATGAAGTGCTTTTATATTTTAGTAAAATTTAAAATTATTTACATCAAGTTCTTATTATCTACAGGAAGATAGTAACTGTTTAAATATAAATGGTCTTCTCAATAAACTAAATGAAGAGAAATCTATGTAGGTATTAAATTATTTAAAACAATATAAATATATTATTACGACTTTTACAGTAATTATTTCATAAGAACTACAAGCAAAGTCCAAGAATATATGGTTTTTAACCCCTCCAAAAATTCTGGGAACCTTACCAAAGATAATCTCACCTTTTATTATGATTTTAGCCTTGATTAATAATAAATCAAATCCATTGGGGACTTACCCAAGAATTTATATTGATAAAACAATAGAATAAAACAACCCCCATCAACCGACGATTATCATTCTTTAAACTCTAAATCCATCAACATGAAGGTTTTCGTGGTTCTGACTCTGGCTCTTGCCTCAGTTTCCTGGGGTCCCGCCTCAGGATACTCCTGTCCATCCCAAGGATATCCAGGGTGTGCCCTCTATCCACGGACGTATAACCAACGGCAAGAACGCGGCAGAGGATCAGTTCCCCTACCAGGTGGGACTCAGCTTCTTGGGCACAAAGGGCAGCTGGTGGTGCGGTGGCTCAATCAACTCCAACACCTATGTGCTGACTGCTGCCCACTGCACCAGCGGGTAAGTATCCCTTAAACCTACTTCAACTCATCTTCTAAGTACTTTTCCCTTTCTCCAGAGCCTTCTCCGTAACTATGTACTATGGATCCATTACTCGCACCAGCCCCAAGCTCAGCCACACTGTGAGCAGCTCTAACTTCCAGCAGCATGCCAACTATGACTCCAAGACCCTTAACAACGACATCTCCCTGATCAAGACCCCCTCGGTCAGCTTCTCGGCGGCCATCAACAAGATTTCCCTGCCCGCCATTGCCAGCAGCTACTCCACGTACGCCGGACAGACTGCCATTGCCTCTGGCTGGGGCTTGACCTCAGATAGCGCCTCCGGTGTGACCTCCAAGCTGCAGTACGCCGACATGAAGGTCATTGCTAACTCTGTGTGCCAGCAGAGGTATGGCAGCGCTACGGTCACCAGCGGCGTCATCTGCGTGGAGTCCGCGAACAATTTAATTAATTATTGTTTATTTATAATTTTTCCAAGTTTAATAACCTTAAGCTTAAAAAAAGGAAAAATAAAATCAAGAAGAGATATATTTTTCAAAATGTTCTTTATTTTTTTTTTTTTATAAAATCTTTTAGAAGACTTAGTATTAAACCCCCATTAGGCAGAAACTCCAGAGTTGAGCTTGATCCAGTCCAAGTAGCTGGTGACACGGGTGAAGCCAGCTGGGTAACCGAGCTCGCATCCATCCGCAGATCCAAAGGAGGTGACACCAATCAGAGTGCCGTCCAGAGCCAGGGGGCCGCCAGAATCGCCGCTGCAGATCGAGGTGCGGTTGGATCCATCCACGCAGACGACCTTGCTGGTGACCACCAGGCTGCCGTAGATTGCTTGGCACACGGAGTTCTCGATGACAGTCAGATCAGCGAACTGCAGGTCCGTGGCCACCGAGGTGGAGGTATCAGAGGTCAGTCCCCAGCCAGATGCGACGGCGGTCTCACCAGTGTAGGTAGAGTAGCTGCTGGCAATGACGGGCAGGGAAATCTTGTTCACAGAGGAGGAGAAGGTGACAGTCGGAGTCTTGAGCAGGGAGATGTCATTGCGAAGGGTCAGGGAGAGGTAGTTTTCGTGCTGAATCCAGTTGGAGCTGGCCACGGTGTGGGTGAACTTGGGGCTGGTGCGGACAGTAGCGCCGTAGTAGATGGTCACCGAGGAGGCACTGAAAAGGGATACCCACCCATTAACCAAGATCAATCTCAAGCCTTAAGCAAGGACAACTCACCCGCTGGTGCAGTGGGCAGCAGTCAAAACCCAGTTGTTGTCGATGATGGAGCCACCGCACCACCAGCTGCCCTGGGAGCTGGAGAAGCTGAGTCCCACCTGGTAGGGGAACTGATCCTCCACTGCATTCTGGCCATTGGTAACGCGACCATCAATCGAGGGCCTCGAGATCCTATCCTTGGGCGGCACAGGCACAACCTGAGGCAGAATGCCAGCGGAAACGGAGGCGAGAGCCAGAACCAAAACCACGAAAACCTTCATGTTGGATCGATGAACGTTCAGTGAATGATGTTTCTTGAGGGTTAAGGTAGCATTTTATACCGTTTTCGGCACGTCTTATCTCCTTCTTGAGGCTACTGATTAAGTTTAGTTGTAAATTTTAGTTTAGATGGAACTTTTGTGGGTGGGGAAAATCCCTATCGCTGAAATTGATAAGTTGATAAAGCCACGGTTTCATATAATGACTTTCTTTTTAGATTACGTTGTATGTTAGAAAATGTTATAAAGTGCGAAATGATTTTTAATATTTTTGTTTAGAGATTAACCATAGTTGAGATTTTAACATTTAGCTGATTTAATTAATATTAATATTAATTAAAAGCTTTCTAAATAAAAATGAATACATTTTTGACTATGTTATGATTGATTTTTAATTTGGTTCCCTGATGAAATGGCAAAGTATACACAAGCTTAAACTTTTCAAAGTTGCACTTTTCTCTTGTTTTTTTGTTTAAATAATCTATCAATAAAGTAAACCAAGTAAAAGAAAAACATTCCCCTAGGTTTAGGTCATTTCTTAAGTAAATAAAAGATATATTCTTGCCTGGCAAAAAACCATTAAAATATTATCTTAGATATATGTATAGTTAGATATATAAACATAAAATAAAAAAGTTTTAAGAAAGCTGACTAAGGTAGATATAACTCCTGATATAAAGGTGCGAAAAAATGCGTCAATTGGTTTAATTTTAAATCATGATTTATAATCCATCTAATCGATGGGGGATTCGCCCATTAGGTCACAAGAGATAAGCTTTGACTATATATATCTTGACTATATAATAACCCCAATTACCAGGACAAGTCATTCACTCATTCACTCAACGTTCAACATGAAGGTCTTTGTGGTTTTGCTTTTGGCCCTTGCCTCCGCCTCCGCTGGCATCCTGCCCAAGATGGCCCCAGTGCATCCTCGCAACAGGATCGTGGCTCCATCCATCGAGGGTCGCATCACCAATGGCAAGGATGCAGTGGCTAACCAGTTCCCCTACCAGGTGGGACTCAGTTTCTTGGGCACAAAGGGCAGCTGGTGGTGCGGTGGTTCCATCATTGACAATTCCTGGGTCCTGACGGCTGCCCACTGCACCAGCGGGTGAGTTTTTCTTACTTTTCATCTGAAAATAGAATATTTGAAAATGTAAAATTATTCTCTTTTTAGGGCCTCCTATGTGACCATTTATTATGGAGCCACCATTCGCACCAGTCCCCAGTTTACCCACACCGTGTCCAGCTCCAACTGGATCCAGCATGCCAACTACATCTCCCTGACTGTTCGCAATGACATCTCCCTGATCAAGACTCCGGCTGTTACCTTCTCCGCTGCTGTTAACAAGATTGCACTGCCCACCATTGCCAGCAGCTACTCCACCTTCGTGGGACAGACCGCCGTGGCCTCTGGCTGGGGAATGACCTCCGATCAGGAGACTTCTGTGACCAAGCATCTGCAGTACGCCGATCTGACCGTTATTCCCAACTCTGATTGCCAAAAGACTTTCGGCAGCCTGGTGGTCACCAGCAAGGTTATCTGTGTTGATACTACCAATGCGATTTCCACCTGTCAGGGTGATTCTGGTGGTCCTTTGGCCCTGGATGGAATTCTGATTGGTATTACTTCCTTTGGAGCTGAGGATGGCTGCGAGATTGGCGCCCCAGCTGCCTTCACCCGGGTTACTAGCTACTTGGATTGGATTCAGAGCAACTCTGGTATTTCTGCCTAAAGAAATCTGTTTAAAGTTTGATTTGTAATTGTTTTCTTTCTGTAAATAAAATGAATTTGAAGCAATAATTTATGTGTGTATTTATTAATTTATAAGCCTCTATAGAGGCTATAAAAAAATATTTTGAAAGAACTTTAAATAAATAAAATAATTTAAATGTAAATAAATGTATTAGAACTACACAAAATGTTCTAATAATCAATCATAAACCCTGCAAAAGCTACTTAAGATTTCAACGAAAATTTGTTCTTTATTATAGGAAGTTCATAAATCAAAAATCGAAATCCCAGCCAATATTTCTTAGGCACTATCACATTGTAATTGATTTTATGATTGTTTATAATCAGTAGACTTTTTGATATTGGGCCACATAAAAATTGATCGGGAAATTTGCGGAACTTGCTGCCTAATCTTATAGAAAGGCTATAACTACTAAATCTATAAAAATCTGGTTTGTTTTTATTATCAGCTTATAAATCTGGGATTTTTTTTTTTTAGTTCAAGAGATTATTTTGTTAAGTGGGCAAGGCCCAAGTTTAGGGTTATCTTTATCAGACCATAAACCGGTTTAAGATTATTTAAAACATAAATATTGTATAGAGGTTAAAAAATAAAGCAAATAATTTCTAGAAAAAGAAATTAAATAAAATATAAAGGATAAATCAAATAAAAAATATTTAGTAATTAAAATCTAATATACATATATATTTATTTTAACCATTTTTACAAACTTTATATTTTTAAATTTAAAGCAATTTTAAGTAAAAATTTAAAAAAGT